GTGGATACTACGTGAATGAATACAGGGCAGAAAGGGATAAAATTGATTTATTGAGTGGGCCAGGAATAAAGATTGATTTCAGGGCAAAACAGAACAGACGAACCTGATGTGTGCCACAGAGAGTTTACAGTCGAACTAGAAAACTAGATGATTCGAGTAAGGAACTGTGGCAAGTATTACAACAGAAGAGGGAGTCATGAAAGTACACAATGCAAAAGTGAACATCTGTCTGAAGGATGCCTTGGGGTTGGGAAGTCGCCGGCAGGACTCTGGGAAAAGAAAACAGCATATGCAAGGATCTAGAGGCAAAGGGAGCGCAACACTATGAAAAAAATGAGAAAAAAATCTGGGTTTCCTGGGTTATGGGGTGAGAAGATGGTACTGGGGAGGGGAAGGGAGGGGGCAGTGCATGTGCAAGGTCTTGAAAGGACTAATGCAGGTGTAAGATTTTATTTCAACTTGACGGCATCTGCTCTGAAGGCCTGTGTGGGTACCAGGAAGGGAGAGAGAAAGCCTGGGTGAAGGAAACCAGGTAGGAGTCAGCTTAAAGAGACAGGTAAAAGGATGATTTGGGCTTACTTAGAGGTAACAGGGAAGACAGAGAAGTGGATGGCTGGAGAGATTTAGGAGGCAGAATACATAGGATTCCTTACTCCTCACAGGTAAATGATATGCCGGCTTCATTCGCTCCACAGAGAAATCTAGGTGTGAAGGAAATTATTTTTGGAAGAGGATTCAGAGCCCGTAAAGTCTTTATAAAATCTCTCTGCTGTTCTAAACAACTATCATTTAGGTTCTAAAGTAGAGACAAACGGTAAAGTACATTCAAAGCATAAATGTTCTCTCAGAGCTGAGGGGGATTCCAATTTTTCTGGCCACACTGACTCAGTGTCCATGTGTCCCTGAGCCTAAGAATCCCCTGGGCAGTCCCCACCAGTGGGAATCTGCATTCACTCAAGGTGATTATCCCAGATCTTTATGTTCACACAAGCTGGGGAGTTGATAGGCCATGGGGGACATGCTATCTATACTGTGTGACGCCAGTTATGCAAAATTCTAGAAAATACCAACTAATCTATAGTGACAGAAAGCTGCCGGGGAATAGCAGTGGCAGGAGAGACGAGAGGAGAGATTGCCAAGGCCAGCAGGAAACTCTTGTGGGTAATGAATATGTTTATTAGTTTGATTATGGTGATGGTTCCACAGGTGTTTTAATATGTCAAAACAGCAACATTAATATGTGCAGTATTGTATGTCAATTATACTTTATCTGTGTGCAGCTTTTTGGGTTAAAGAAAATAACTACAGGCCTAACATGGTGTCACTTGTGTTAAAAACCCATAAGAACAAACCAAGAGCCCTGGCCAGTTTGGCTCAGCGGTTAGAGTGTCAGCCTGCAGACCAGAGAGTCCCGGGTTCGGTTCCTGCTAAGGACACGTACCTTGGTTGCAGTTTGTACCTGGCCCCGGTTGGGGTCATGTGAGTGGCAGCCACTCGATGTGTCTCTCTCACATTGATGTCCCCTCCCCACCAAAAGAACAAACCAAGATTTTTTTCTTTTCATTTTTAATTTTCTTTCTTTCTTTCTTTCTTTTTTTATATGTTGTTGTTATCAAACCTAGATTTAATATCTAATCTAATTGCAGTTTCAACCTCTCTCAGAAACATAATCTTAATCAACCAGTAGGGCATTTTTTGGTCAAGCACCAGTAAGGTAATCTGTCATGTGGGCCTCCCCACAACCCATAGAAAAAAGATGCAGTTTCTCTCCCTCCCAAGTAAAGGTGTCCTGGCTCAAAAACAACCCTTTCTTTTCTTTCCCAAATAACTCCCTCACCCCACCCATCTTCCTATAAAAACCTTCTTAGTAAAACCCCTGCCTTGCCCCGAGGGAAGGTGACTTTACCTGAAATAATACTCTCTTTTAACTTCTTAGTCCACCTTCTTTCTGCCTATAAACACCTTCCATTTCTACAACCCCTCAGAGGCCCTTTCCAATTGCTAAATGGGATGCTGCCCAATTAATGGATTGCTTAATAAATCCATTAAGATCTTCAGATTTACTCCACTGAACTTTGTTTTTTAGTAAGAGTACAGATGAAAACTAATGTACTCATTTATATCATATTACCCATGCATCTGCTATGGAAAACAGTAGGCTATTTATTCAAAAAATTAAAAATTGAATACCATATGCTCCAGCAATTACACTTCTGGAAAATTGAAAGCAGGAATTTCAAGAGATATTAGTACACTCATGTTCATAGCAGGGCTATTTGCACTAGCCAAAAGGTGGAAGCAAAGTATGCATCAAAGGATGACTGGATAAACAAAATGTGGTATATACCTACAATGGAATATCACTCAGCCTTAAAAGGACGGAACTTCTGACACATGCTACAACATAGATGAACCTTGAAGACATTATGCTAAGTGAAATAAGCTAGTCATAAATACTGTATGATCACACTCACATGAAGTATCCAGAGTACTCAAATTCACAGAGACTGAAATTAGAATGTTGGTGGCCAAGGGCTTTGGGGGTAAGAGGGGTGGTGATGGAAGTGGGGAGATAGATGGGTAGTGTTTCAGTTTGGAAAGATGAAAAATTCTGTAGATAGATGGTGGTGATGGTAGTGATACCGTTGTAATTAGCTGGTTATTAATAATAAAAAGGGAGTGAAAAGAGAGGCCAGACATTATAGCATGGTCATTTGGGCAGCTTCACCAGGAAGTTGCAGTTTCACACTCCCCAGGGAACCACAGGTCCCTTCCCTGCAGAGCACTGGGGGAAGGAACCAGACAAAGGGGAAGGTAGGTGCATGCGCAGTGAAGTTGGGGTGACATATGGAAGGTACTTACCTGTCAATCTAGCCTGGGGAACCAGGGAGGAAGTGGAGCCAATGCAAACCGGCAAAAAATTGGGAATACGTAATCCTCTAGGTAGGAAGGTGCTCTCCCTCTGGCTCTCTGTTTCCTTTGGCTTTGCTCCTGCCCTTGTTCCTTCCACAGCCATGTGGCCCTGTGGACCCCACACATAATGGACTAATGGACTGCGTGGGGAACACAAACTAAACTAATCTGGTGCTGGATTAGACCGTGCAGACATGGAATGGAAACTGGCCAATAGCTTTAATTCTAGCCCTACTGAAGTCACAGCTATACTTCTTCCATTGAGGGACAGATGGAAATGGAAACTTGGAAACTCAGGGTTGTAATTCCACAGAAATAAAGCTTTCTGCAATATCTCATCCTCCTGTGCAGGTCTCAGAAGTTTATTTTTCTCTGGATATCGCAAGAAGCCCACTCCCATCAGCAACCAACCAGGTGGGACCAGGAGAGCACCCCACCGATAACAGTAGCACAATAATATGAATCTACTTAATGCTAATGAGCTAGACACTTAAAAATGGCTAAGAAGGCAAATTCTATGTTATGCCCATTTTACCACAATTTTTTAAATTAAGAAATTTTCCAAAAAAGAAAGGTAGTAATTCTTATTGTCTACCCTAAAATGTTCCAAATTAGCTGTACACCTGAAACTAATACAAAATAACATTGAATGCAAACTACAATTAAAAATTTAAAAAAATTAAATGTTCAAAAAATAAATAAATAAAAATAAAATGTTCAGAATTATTTCAAACCAAAGCTCAATTAACTTGGATTTTTAGAAAGTTTTCATTTTAACTAATTATAAAAATAATATACTTCCACTTTAAGAAACATGGACTATGAGGGAAATATCGTTAAAAGAGAATTTTTAGAAAAATTTAAAATTATGACACAATATAAAATGAATGCTTGTCAAAATTTTTATCTCACTCATTAATAATGGAACCAGTATGATATTACAATTAGTTCAAAAAAGAATGCAAATAACGCACATATATAGGCAAACAGGCGTGCTAAAATAAATTTAGAAATCAATGCCAAACTTGTCAGTTTACATTCTACTGATAAACTCATTTGTATTTCTTTGGACAAAAATCAGGTTGGAGGACTACAGGTTTTCTACAATTTAGAGTTATAAGATGGCTCAAAAATAATATGCCACAGGACCCTATATAGTTAGATAAATCTGAAAAGTGTGGTAGACGGGACACCCAGTAACACCTCTCCTTTTTGTGTGCACTTCGACATGTTTCACAAGGCTGAAAAATAAAGTAACTCCTCGTCCCAGAAACACATTCACTTTGATCTTTTGAGTCTAACTTAATCTGGACTAGGAGCCTTTATTAAGCACACTGAACAGATTTATTAAACAAAGTGACCCAATATTCTGGGCACACTTCTCGACCGCGGTGCACAGCTGCCGTGCGCATCCAAGCAGGGAGGGAAGTGGAGGCGCGGCCCACTCAGCTGCGAGTGGCTGCAAATCAACTGCGTAAAACTTCACGGGACCACCGGGAGCGCGCTGGGAGTGGAGGGAGGAGAGGTTACCCCGCAGGGCCGCGCAGGGAGGGGAGGAAACCTTTGGCAACCGAGACAGATTAGGTGAGAAGCAGGTAAACTGCGCAGCAACTGAGCCAGGAGCAGCCGTCCCAGCTGCACCGCCTCCTTCCTTCCCCGCCCCGGGCCCGCGGAGCCTCCCGAGGAGCCAGGGGCGGGGCGACCTTTGCTCGGTCCGGGAGCAGACTGGCTGCGGACCAGGTGCTGCCGCTCCCCCGAGCCCCGAGGAGCCCGCCAGGGGCCGAGCCGCTTCCTGCTCGCCCCTCCCACCGGCGGGTTTGGCCTCGGCCGCCGTTTCTGGACGCCCGCTCCTCCGACCGCGGTTTCGGTCAGACCCGCCCGCGAGTGGTTTCGATTGGGGACAGTCGGCCGGTCGGAAGGCAGAGCGGCTGGGGCGCGAGGAGAGAACTGGGGACGAGCCATGGAGTGAGGACGGTCCCGCGTCGCAAACCGAGAGCGGCCCGAGACAGCCGGACGCAGGCCCCCGGCCCGCGGTGGCGCCCGCGCCGACTTCGGGGCCAGAACCTGGCGCTCCCCGGGCCCGTCGGGGCCTGAGATCGCGCCCGCCCGGGCGTCGGTGGAGAAGGCAGCAGGTGCGCCGTCCCGCGGGAGCGCAGCGCGACGCCTGGGGATGCGGACGCCGGTGGTGATGACGCTGGGCTTGGTGCTGGCGCCCTGCGGGCTGCTGCTGAACCTGACGAGCACGCTGGCGCCCGGCTGGCGGCTGGTGAAGGGCTTCCCCGACAAGCCGAAGGACGAGGTGCACTACCAGGGCCTGTGGGACATCTGCCGCGAGCAGAGCAGCCGCGAGCGCGAGTGCGGCCAGGAGGACAAGTTGCACTACTTGGAGGCTGAACTGGTGCTCGTGGCAAGGGGACTGATGGTCACGTCGCTGGCCGTCACCGCCCTCGGGCTGCTGTTGGCGTCGCTTGGCGTGCGCTGCTGGGAGGACGAACCCCGCTTCGCGCTCTCCGGTGCCTCGGGCTTGGTGCTCTTCGCCGCGGGCCTCCTCAGCCTCATCCCCGTCTCCTGGTACAATCACTTCCTGGAGGATCGCGCCGCCCTGCCCTTCCCGGACGAGAAACTCGTCGTGGTGGAGGTCGCTTACAGCCTGGTGCTGGGCTATCTGGGCAGCTGCCTGCTGCTGTTGGGCGGCTTCTCGCTGGCGCTCAGCTTTGCGCCCTGGTGCGCGGAGTGCTGTCGCCGCCGCCGCAAAGCGTCCTCCAGCAGCGCTCGGCGCCCCAGCATCAGCACCGTGTACGTCGACTGGCCGCAGCCTGCGCTCACACCCGCCATCAAGTACTACAGCAACGGCCAGCACCGGCCGCGGCCCGCCGAGGTGGGCCCCGCTGCCAAGCCCAAAGTGGGCTTCCCCATGCCGCGGCCACCACCCAAGACCTACACCAACTCGGTGGACGTGCTCGACGGGGAGACGGTGTCCGACTCCCAGGGCTCCTCCTCGCGGAGCACCCGGCCCTACCACAGCTCCCTGCCCTGCGACTCGGATTTGTAGACGGGACCCCCATCCCCACCCCAGCTTGGAGGACTCGCCCTACCATCGTCCAATTTTGAACTTGAAGGTTGCCTTGCCACTGGAAACCCCTGGCTGGGAGTTGGACCCCTGGGCACTGTTCCTGGTTCTGTAAATGGTTTGGAGGGCCATCTTCCTTTCCTGCGACCAAACTAGACTCCTTGGACGATTAGTTCAGGTTGGATTTGGTTTTCTTTTTATAGAGTTTAGTTTTTCTCTCCAGAGGGATCAGGGTCCTCTTATAGAGTGACAGGTTTTTCATACTTTTAGCTGAAGGAAACATTGTGACTTTGCATCGTGTTGACCAGGGACAATAACAACAAAAAGTCAAAATCAGCAAATAGAAGCTCAAAAATGAGTTTACACCTTGAAACAATATTCTGAAATGACGATGAACTTTTCAAAAACATCAACATAATTAAATAGTATTCATTTCTGCTGGATCGTTCATTTTCCTGCAAACTCTCAAGACCGATATATTTCTGGCTATGTGTGAATGAGGATCTTAAAAATAAATGTGGAGCCATGTAATACCAGCAGCTTTAGTGGCTTTTATGGAATGAAATGACCTGATTAACTCATTTAACTCATCATGTATAAGTAGCATTAATCTTTTTTTATCACTTATTTTTGGTATGAAAGTTGAGGTCACACCACAGTTTCTCTTCTAGGAGCCAGAGAAGAATGAGAAGACTAATGCTATACTGTTTTGTTCCTCGGCTACCTCACCCTAGACATAGAAGACCATAGGTTAAATATTTGGTACAAAATGGAACTTATTGATCCTATTAGGTTAAAGTATGTGACTTTATGTATCTCTCATTTATAAATAAAATCTGAAAGTAAGATTTTCAGTATGCCCACAGAAGCTTGTTGTCTCCAGTGCAAGCTTCAGGAGTTGAAGCCTCCATTGCTAACACTTTCCTGGACGCCTAGGCACAGTTCCTGAAATCTAGCGCTCAAATCTTCACACGTCTTAGTATAAGATTACTAAAAGATGCCAACAGGCCCCACTTAAATTTCTGACTGTGTTATTTTCAGGTTCATGCTATTTTCTGTCTATTGTTGGAAAAACTAAACACTGACTTCCACATGAAGTGAGACTAGAAATCTGTTCCTCAGGTAACAGTGATGCCTAAAGTCACAGGTAGGCAGCGATGGGTTCATAAGCAGGACTACATTTCCAGTAGGGCCGGCTGTAATCCCAAATGATTGATTTCAAGGTGCCTTTCACTGAGCAGAATCTCACCTGTGAGACCTGCCCGGTAGCCAGTTCAGGGGTGGGACCCATCAGTTCAGTGAGCATGATAACGGGACCCGTGGAACTGACCGAAGCAGCGCGTGGAGCCCCAGAGCAGCGCCGGAAGGGGTAATACCGATGCACTGCCTTTGCCAGTCTGTACCGAATGCCCTGTTTCCATCTTTTTTCTGACCCAACTTTAAAGTGCAGGCATATCACTTGGGGATCTTTTTCAAATGCAAATTCAGGAGGTCTGGAGTGAGGCCTGAAACTGATTTCCTAAGATCTCCCAGGAGATGCCAAGGCTGATGGTTCCGGCCGCCACTTGGGGCTGCCAGACTTTCACTGGGCCTGCGCCTCACTCAGATTTCAGTCCGGCAGCAGCACATAACCAGACCTTTGAGAGCTTGCCCTCTTGCTGAGTTAAGGGCTGTCCACCCGGGAACCGAGCCAGAATGGAGAAAAGGCAACAGTTTTTTTTCAGCTAACGCCTCAAAAAGGGGCTGGGCACCTGAGAAATCAGGATCTCGCAGGTAACACAAAGACATTGCATTTCTGGCAGGTACCAAACTCACTGAATTTTTTTCTTCATCCTAGTTCTGTACGTTTCTAGGGAAGCTTCGATGAAAACAAAGAACTGGTGTTTTGTATGTTTTTAGTTTTCCTTCCTCCCCAATTATTATCCACTGGCTTATCTTCAAACTACTTCCTCTCATGATTAAGATTTACTGGCAGAACAGCTTAATTTTGGCCCTACCAACAGAAATAAAACCAAAACTCCCTTTGAAAACAACATACTTCTTTTCGCTCCCAAAAACTATTCAAGCTGGCACAGAATGAGGCTCCGGCATCAGGCCTGATCTGGGTGGGCCGGAGGGTCACTCTGCCACAGCGGCACAAATGGATGAGCTTGAGACTCAAGGTGCTGGAGGAGGCCAGCACCTCAGGAGTTGCTGCTGGGGGTGAAAACTCACCCTGAACTTAATAACAACTAAGGAGCTAGCAATCTCACCTCAGTGAAGACAATGATGGGAAATAGCACGGCTGCCTTGACTTTATCACATGCCATCACAACTCATTTCAATAATCCTAATTACATTCAAAGCACGTTCTCATTTAGTGGGTGAAATCTTTCCAGATTGCTCAAGCTATGCCTGGAGGAGTCGGTGGAAGTAGAGCAGACGCAGCATTAGCGCAGTGCCCGCCGCACCTGTTCGCCAGCCCGGCTGCGCGCCCTCACTAAAGAGGGCCAGGTGTTCAGCACATGCTGTCCAGCCCCTGTGGAGGCTGTGGGAGGTGCTGCCCAAGATGCTTCAGCCACCACCCTCTTTAGGTACTAGATCGCTCATCTAGTGAGTTTTGGGGCACCTGTCATTTTGTCAGCGCCTCGGTGACACCTTGGAAAACAAAACACTTCCAGGCCCTGACTTTGTGGAACTCACAGTCTAGTGTGAGAGATGAGTACAAGGAAAATGAATAATAAGCCAGGGTCCAGGGCTGGAGAAAAGGGTGGTAGTTTAGGGGAGGTGATCAGGAGGTGATACTCAAGAGAAATTAAAGAGGGAGAGAGGATGCTCTGCCTGTGCAGTAGCCCTCCTCTGTCTCACGGCTGCACTAATAAACTTGCTTTCCCTTTAAACTCTAAAAATAAAGAAAGAGGGAGAGGGGAGCATTCCAGGCAGAGAGACAGCAAACGCCAGTGTCCCATGAAAATAGGTAGGCATAGCGGCTTGGCTCCAGCACCTCTTGCTTCTGCCCCAGAACAGAGTGGTGAGGACAGGGAGAAGCTGGGGACCTCCTGTGGTCTTTTGTCAGGCTAATAGCTTCTCCAGGAGGGAAGACACTCTGGAACACATTTAATCTGTTTAATGGCATGTTTTCAGAATCAAACAGAAACAATGCTGGTAAGGAACGTTCTCCCCTGCCAATGTGTAGACAGCCCCACAGTGCAGCCGGTGGAGAAAAGAATTTGAATCTCAGAGGCTCGCCACACATCCCCAGATGCTAGGAAAGGTTAACAACCAGGATCCCTGGCACCCACAACACACCTCCCCACCCCAAATCTCCACTCCGACCTTCCTAACATGAAGGTCTGCCATTCATCTCTTCAAAACCCTCAGGATCTTTCTTATGTATCATCCACTCTTAGCTTCAGTTCCATTCAGATTTGGCCACAGCCCAGGTTCTCGCCATCATTACTGTCTCTCGCCCATTCCCCAACTACTGTGCCCCATCAGCTTAGAGGAGTCATATCTGAACATATCATATACATGTTCAATGTGTGTTTTTCTCGGTGTATTTTCCCATTTTACCTCTAAACTGAGAATAAGGGTGTGGTTGGTTTCTATTTATTTTTGTGATCCCAGACTGGGAACTAATACTTCCTTAGTGCCTATTAGCAACTGAATAAGTTAAAGTTTCCTCTAAAAGCTGCTTCTGTACCCAGAGTCTTCCTCACCATATACACCAATTGTCACGTACAGAAGAAGCAGTTTGTGGCCGCAGGCCACTGGCCCCAAACCCATGGCAGAGGCACTGATGCCCCTGGGGACCGCACAGGAGCGACTGAATCGGGTTCCGCCCTCTGAGTGGCTGCTATTTGAGGGTCGCTGACAGGAAAGGCCGAGGGAAACTGAACAAGTAACTACAGGTTTTCTAGAGCTTGAGTGACATGTTTCCTAGTGAGACGGGCTAGAAAGCCAGGACGAGTGGACCAGGGACACTGAGACAGGTGGTGAAATGGCCTAGCAGTTTCCAGCCATCTAGTAAATGGCACAATTCTATCTTCTCTACCCGAGGACACTTAGGAGTAAATGGTTTGCACTTCTCCTCCCTAACCAGATGAGAACTAGCTGAAAGCACTCTACTCAGGGGGAGCAGAAATCTGTTAGTGCCCTTTGCCAACCACACTCAAGGACAATTGAAGTTAAGGAAATAAATCTCATTGTGTCATATCCGCATAAAGCTGATGAATGTTCTGAGATCCTCCCTTAAGACCTCCCCTAAACCCCAGCCTTTAAAACCCTCAAAATGAATGACCCAGGTGTACTCCCCCGCCGAGGAGCATGCCCATGCCATGCCTTACCCCTCCCCCCCTGCTTCCCCCGCAGGTGTGCATCTCCTAAACTCTAAGGGTCCCCACAGACTTGCAACCAAGTGATCAATGGGCAACAGCCACCCATCCCAGGCTAACCCCCTGAACCTGTCTCCAAGACCCCCCTCTTCTCCGACTTCTCATTGAGCCAAAGCAGCCCTGCCTAGGCTCATTTATTTCTTATAACATTTTTTAAAAACCAAAGCATCCCCTCCTAGGTAGGCTCTCTCTTATTCCTTCTATCCTAGGCCCTTGTTTCACTGTCCCCAGCTTTAGTAACTGAACTCTCAAAATCACCTGGGCTAGTGTAAATCTTTCCTGCATGAAGTCAAGAACCCACACACCACAGGCTGGCGTGAGGCGGACCCCCTCCCAGCCAGGTGCCTGTCCTTGAGCACTAATTGCTCAAGCTCTTTCCTTGCTGAACTTGTCTTCTCTTCTGTACAACTGGGAAGACTGGATTGATGTTATCAGAGGGCCTGTCTGAATTTAATATTCTGAAAGTGAAGGTGGAGAATTTAGATGAGGCTAAGAGGAGAAACATGAAATTTGAATACTGAAGGGTGGGAAAACTGATTGATCTATAAAATTAGTAATTGGTCTGATAGCAACAAACTCCATGGTCTACTTCTAGCTTTCTCTGAATCTCACAAACCTACCTGTAGTTAAAGAACTAGGAACTTGGCCCACTCCTCCCGTCATCCACACGAGAGCTGTGATAATGAAACTCAAGTTTATTTTCTGCTATAGGTTTACTGCTCCATCTATTAGGTGGAGAGAAATGAAGAAATTAACACCTTATACAGAGATGATCACAAGGGAAGGCTCTTACAGTTGAAAACATGCCATTGCTCCAAATAGATAAGTTGACATATTACGACCAATTTAGGGGAAAGGGATGGTTAGAAATTAAGTATAAACTCTTAAGTATCCTTTTGTGAAATTAGGTCTTTCTGGTGAAAAGCTCATTTAAGTGTTTTGTAAATTCTTGAATAGGGTGTGTTAAACAGATTCAGGCAGGATGATACTTAGGCAGATATTCCTAAGAGACCAAAGACAGGAAGATATAAACAAGCAGCAGACGAGGAGAGGGGGCCATGCCTGACCTATCAGGAGATTTGGCTTCAGTAGCTTTCTTTTTCCGGGAACCGGGACTGCACAGGAGAAGGGTGGGGCTGGAAGAACATCTGTCAGAGCGCCTGCGATGTGGAAGTAGGCTGAGCTGTGAGGGATACAAAGCCTGGAAGTCCGGCAGAGCTCAGGGACTCAGGGGAACGAGGCAGCTGCTAAGCGTGTCCAGAGAAAGTGGTAATCCTGTTGTACGTCAGTCATGTGTGCCTTCAACTTCGATTCTTTTGTGTCATTTTTATGCACCTTCGCACACAGAGAGGCACAGCCTTACCAAGGGCAGATTTGGCAGTGAGGATGGCTCTTGGGAGCGGGTAGCAAGACGAACCTAAGATTCACCTGGTGGATGAGAAGGGTGGAGGGTACTGTGATGCTGAAATGGTTTCTCTCAAGGATAGCTGAGCCCCTGAGGCAACTTGATGCTGCTGCAGCATCTCTCAGCCTCCAGAGAAGCAGAACCCCCAGCGTTTGTCATTCAGGTCAAACTGGTTCCTACTTGGGAATTTTTATATTTGATTGCAAAGCACAGTTTATTTTATGTACTATACCCACAGCATTAAGTCTAGGACTTCCCTTCATGCTAGAAACAAGTGTAGAAGAAACTATATATGAATAGTCTAGACAAGACGCAAGAAAAGTCTTCCAAGTTTAGTTGTGTTTATTATAATTGGGACTCCTATTATCAGACTCAGGTACTATGCTAAGCATACAGGCATTTTCATATTTTCATTTGATGCTCAACTGGCCTGTTGTAGGTTCTGTTAATCCCATGTTTATTGTTGGGGAAACAGTTTCATGATTAAGAGATTTGCCAAAAGTTGCTACTATTGAATTTTAGACCATTCTCTGCGTTGTTACCTGTCTCCAGTCACAAAGCCAATGCCCCTGAATAAAGTAGATCCGGGAAGACAAGCAGAGGTGCATGCAGTCAGAGGGACTTTGGGATCTAGTAGCGTCTGTGTGTTTCCCCAGCAGGCGAGAGCTAGGTGAGAGGAGTCCTGGTCCACACCGATAACTCCGCAGCTTGCTGCCCACAGTATCCACACACTTTACTGCAAAGAAGTCAGATAAATCATTTATCCGAGTTTCTATATCTGTAAAGTAGTTCACTTGTACTTAGTCTTATTTATTTTAATATAATTTTATTGATTTTAGAGAGGAAGAGAGAGAGAGAGAAACATTGATGAGAGGGAAACATTGATCAGCTGCCTCCTGCAAGCCCCCTACTGGGGATCTAGCCACAACCTGGGCATGTGCCCTGATGGGGAATTGAACAGGTGACCTTTTGGTGCATGGGTCAATACTCAACCAACTGAGCCACACCAGCCAGGACCTGTACTTAATTTTACAATCATATGAAAGCACAAGAAAAATATTGATTTTATAAATTTTCAAAAAAAGTGAGTACTAACTTTGCAGCAAAATGTATCTGAGAGAGGGAGTGTTAGGGAACTAACCCTTGCGCATTTACTACACTGCAGAAACCTGACCTTTAACCTAGGAGGTAAAAATTCAATATAAATTATTCCCTTTCATAAGGTGGAGAAAAAGGTTCAGAGAGATTAACTGGCTCAAAGTTAGTGTCAGAGTCAAGATTCAAATCCAGAACTCCTGACTAGTTTTGAGCCAGCACTGGGATTAGAAAGTTTCTGCTGATAAACTATGACCTAAGTTACAACCTAAGTTAGATTGCACTGAAACCAAGTAACAAAACCAGATGACAACCTCCAATCTAAAAAGCAGTTATTTTAATCAGTTACCACTGACCAGAGACTGTTCCAGAAGTTAAAACAGTACACAATGAGATGTATAAACAGATTTTATTGAGATGTTTCAGCTCCTTTTTAATCTAATCAGATTAGTCAGTTTGCAAAGAGGTTAACAAATCCTGTAAGAAAAGAGAGTTCAAGATTGAGAATAGGCACTACATTAAAACAAAGTGAAAACACAGAGATGGTTGAGCTATACAGAAGTTAGAAGAGATCACAGGGAGGTATAAATTTTAGGAGTAACTCCAACTAACATCCCACAGCTCACCCCACAGTATGACTGAACTCCTTGTGGAAGTCCACCAAAAGCTCAATTTCTTGATTATTATCCCATGCATGTTTCACTTCAGTTTGAACAACTAAAGATTGAACAGATTCTAAAGACAAAATAGTTACTGACCATTCGTTTGATATACTAGTGCATCATTCTTTAGTTTGCACTAGAGATCAGCAACATCGGATCAGTTGCCTCCCGCATGCCCCCTACTGGGGATGTAGCCACAACCTGGGCATGTGCCCTGACGGGGAATCAACCAGTGACCTTTTGGTATGGGACAATGCCCAACCAACTGAGCCGCACCAGCCAGACCTGTACTTAGTTTTAGAATCATATGAAAGCATACAGATCTTTCACCCAGCTGGGATTTTTCAGAAGGGTCATTCTGAAACTGTCTCTCAAAAATCTGTTCAAAGACACTTCCAGGCATACCTGTTCATCATAGGCTTCATTAACAAAGGTCTCACTGTTCATTAGATTCTCTTCTTCTTGGTTATTTTCTTCACGGCTGGTCAAGTTTCTTGACGAGGCTGTACTATTTCTAGAAATCAAAGAAACAAAATCAAAAGAGTTGTTCCTTGAGGCAGAAGCTGGGTTGGCAAATGGTTAGAAAGGGTCAACTTGTCCCCAATCAAAGGTTTTGGTGGGTTTTTTTTAGGAATTATGCACTGTTTTAATTGTCTCTTTAAGAAAGCAAACGACCTAGAATGACAACACTTGAGTCAATTATTATTTGGTACTAGATATTCATTTAACTTCTGAAATGATACATTGTCTCTGTTGAGGGGAACCAGGTAATGGAATTCAATGAGTACTGAATCCAAGGACAGGTAAGTGGCAACTGGACATAGGTAAGTGGCAAGTTAATGTAGTAAAAACAAAAAACGAAAAGTGAGGTGACAATCAGAACCCCAAGGGCAGCATCTCAGTCATCTTAATATTAACCAGTTAGCTACTACCTAACCAGTGTTACCTTGGGCAAAGACATGGCACTTCCTCTGGCCTTTTCTCCAGTCTGTAAACTGAAGTCTGGACAGAGATGTAACTTTTACAGCTTCTGTCATCTCTATATTTCTTGACACACAGGCTGTTGAATGTCTGCTTACCTAATCAGTTTCTTTGGTTACTGTATCTTCCTACTCTAAATCATCATTTTGTTATTCTCATTTACTTCTTCAATCCAGTGACTCTCTTGTTCTTTGGAAAAACATTGCTTTCGCTTTAAATCTTTCCTTGGTTTCTTTATTTCACCTGTTATGGGATGAGTGGTGTCCCTTTCAGATTCATATGTCAAAGTCATAAACCCCATTATCTTAGAATGCAATTGCTTTTGGAAAGAGGTTCTTTAAAGAGGTAATTATGTTAAAAGGAGGTCATCTGTTTGGTCCCTGATCTAATATGACTGATGTCCTTATAAGAAGAGGCGATTAGGACACAGACGTGCGCAGAGAGAAGACCATGGAAGACACAGAGAAGTCTGCATCTACAATTCAAGGAGAAACCAACCCTCAGCCTCAGAAGAAACCATCTCCACTGACACATTGATTTCAAACTTCCAGCCTCCATGACTGTGGGAAAATAAATTTCTGTTGTTTAAGATACCCAGTCTAAGGTATTTGTTGTAGCAGCCTGAGCAAACTAATATACCTCTCCTAACAAATTTTTTCTTCCAATCACTGGTACTAACTGCCTCACTGGTGGGGAATATCCTCTTTTCATCCGAGATTGTGCCACTGACAATTGTTGGGGCAGACTTATCTGCCCCGGGTATCACTAAAAGAAGTGGTCCCAATTTGTTATTTTTCCAGGACATCTAACAGGTGAGGCTGCTTCATCACCTCAAGCCTTTCTCGGTGGACAAATTTCTAGAGTGGACTCAGACCTCCAACCCCATTCATCTTATTTTATAAGCAACTTCTTTGGAATAAAACTATCCCATGAAGACATTAAGAGATGCTCACCTTTTTAGTTCATGTTCTTTTCTGAAATACACAAATGCTCCCAGAACTACCAGAACAACTGGCAAGGTGATGGTTATGCTGAGGGCGATGTAGCCAGGGGCCGGTCCATGCACGGCCTCTTCACAGAACTCTCCACCATATTCCATCTGACAGCTGCATTTCCTCAGCTCCCCTTCCACTGTGCAGATTCCCTTCCCGTTACAGAAATCACTGCTACAGGGCAGATGTTCTGCCCTCTGTGAGTCCTTGGGCTGAACAGGCTTCTCTGTTTCCTTGGTTTCTGATGGCTTGCTTTCTCTATCAGGAATTGGAGGGATCAGTGTTTTTCTGACAGGATAATTCATCTCTTCTGGACCCAGAGATCTGGTCTTGGTGGGCTTGGTAGCCTGGAGAGGTTGGGCTGCATTAGGAATCACCCTTTTTCCAGCCTTTAACTTTTCAGGTATTGGTGTTGAATGAGTTTTATCTGGATAGGTACCTACAAAAACAGTAGCTATGAGTGTGGATATATACGCATATGTATCAGTTAAAAACTGTTTCAGAAGAATAAGAATTCTAACGAACTTAACAAGGTAAGGTTGAATTTATGAAATCATACATCACTACCATTACTTTTGACCAAAGAAAAAACTATTAAAAAATTTTAAAAACTGCATGTCTTAAAACATTTAAAATGTTTGGTTTCAGGACCAGTCTATCGACAATACCAATCTACTTTTTGATGATGGTGTGTATAGGTTTAGCCAAGGCAGCGTCCCTCAGTTGCAATGGTTTATTCTATAAGGATTAGTGTGGTAGATCTAAATAGTAAATATATAGGCTAGAAAGGTCTTTTTAAAATATAAGTTTATCTATACATAGTTAAAACTTTTTTGAGTCCAAGTAAACCGTAGGTTTTAGCAAGATCTACAAGTTGCAAGTATTGAACCCGATTTGGTGGTGGTGGCCGGGGGTGGGGGTGGGGGCAGGGGCGGGGGGGCAGGCATTAGGCAGGGAGTAGGCACCAGGATACTTCTAACCATAGAGGAATCTGAAGTTTGTGGGTAAAGCACTTCGGCATATTCTCTGTTATTGTTGGCACAAGTGTTACTCTTTATGTGAACACTAAAGAGCAAACTATAGGAAGAGAAGACAACAGTATTAGCAATAACACTACTTTCCTCTGTCGTAAGCTGGTTCACAGGAGTGGTCCCACTCCTGGCAGCCCAAGGTCCCTCATGATAACGTCTATCCAGAGGAAGCCAGTCTAACTTTATGCAGCCAGTACCGTCCCTTCCAAACAAGCTATGTAAAAGGGTGAAATCATTACTAAGGAGCAGAATTAACTCTTGGGCCTAGGTCATCAGGAACTGGACAGCAAGGCAAGGTATGTTAGGTTTCTGGTTTAGCTTTAAAACCAGGTGATGAAGGTGATCATTGTCTCACTCATTGACATCCCTCTCCTCTTGAGTCACTGCCAACACAGGACTTTCAACAAAACCACCCTCATTTGCAAAACCATAGAATCAACTCTGGGAAAATCCATCATCTTTCCTAGTTAAGATAAAGTGATTCCGGGTAATAATTTGTCTTCCAGCCAGTCAGGTTTTAGCAGATGGGAATTTAAATTGAGAAGTCAATGAGAACTCTTCCCTGTAAGATTCATTTTCCAAATCTTTTTCTTTACTACTTATGGCCAGTTTCAGTACCAAGCCCACTGCCTCTTGAATTCTATCGCTTATAGGACTTGGATATCACTGCAGCTGGAGCTACAGAATTAGAGGCTGGTGGTTAAAAGCAGGATTAGATATCAGTTGGCTGGCTGTGAAAACACCTTTCCATGAAGGCACCTTTGGTACAGTATTTCTATAACAGCCGTCTACAGTTAGCATTTATACACCTTCTACTAACATGACAGCTTCATACACATCCTCTTGTATTCACAACACCTGTGAGGTAGAAAGTGCCACTTTCACATTAAAAGGGGAAACCAAAACAGGTTAAATAGTTTGCCTAACCTACTTCCCCTGGGCTATGCTTACCAAGTGATCAAAATGGACTGAGTCAAATCTAGGTTAAATGAATGTTCTTTCAGACAAATGCAAACAGTCTAGCCCTTTAGAGCTTACTATTACATTGCCTGTTCTAAAATCAAATCAGGGGGCACGTTAGCTTTCCACAAGGGGTCCACGTAACCTATATTCAATTACCCCATTAGATGTTGCCTATTGTTCAGTTTAAAGAATACACAGTGATAATGAGGTAATAATTTACTGAGGAATTAGATAGTACTAAAAGTAAGCCATTTATGGTGAAGAACAGTGGGTCCTGGTCAGGAGTTACTCACAGCCCATTTCATCAGATGCATCCAAACAGTCAGCACGACCATCACACACTTGCTCCGTGGAAATGCACTTCTGACCATCCTTGCAGGATTGTGACGGCACAGAACACCGGACAGCTTCAATACATCTGTTTGTGTCAGCCAAGTAGTAGCCACTGGAACATTTACAAGTCTGTCCTTCAGGGTTTGGTAAACAAATGTGGCTACATCCTCCATTGTCTTTTGAGCAACTGTTACTACCTGTGGGTCCCCACCCCCCAAAATATATTGATTTATATTTTTTTCACAAGAGTCTTCTGCAAATGTTTTGCAAATAGACTATCAGAGTTATAGGACTCAGATATTTTTTCCCAGAGAAGACAGTGCTTCAAATTAATTTCTTTTAGTCAATTGGGTACCAAGTGATTGGGGAGTCTTCTTCATGGATAAGGATGGCTTTAGAATCCCAAGAGTTCAGACAAGGGGTGGGCTTAAGAAAAATGGAGGTGAACTCCTGCTCATTTAAGACTCCACTGTGAGTTCTTTTCTCCTCTCACACCACACACCAACCTCAGAACTAGAAGAGTCTTATAGATAAAGCTCTCTTTAGATGAAAAGTTGGGGGCTGTGGTCTCTATGATCCCTCTAAGAGTCATAGAGAACGGACTGGTGGTTGCTAGAGGGTGTGGGGGAAATGGGAAGGGAGAATAGTCCGATCAAGTCAGCCATTTACAGCTTCCCATAGTTCTCCAAACCTTGTATCTTAAGATTTAACTTCTAGTGAGGTTTTACCTTTTAAGATATTCCAGGAATTGTGGAATGGGTATGCATGTAGTATAGATAAAACCTACTTTAAGGATGACAGAGACCCTCTTTCTGGTTCTCAGAATTAAGCAACAGATGATCATCATTTTGTGATGTGACCATTTACAACACTAAAGAATTCTAAAAAGGTTCTCCCCACAAGCCCAAGACATTAGGAGCTTGAGCATGACTAATATCAGTTATAAAGTTTGGCTTTCAAAAACAAAGCAATGGGGCAGCATTCTCTTAAGACTAATATGTATACTCAATCATACATAGTGGTAGCAGGTATGATTAACTGTCTGAGCTCACATTGTTGGGATTAATCTCTACTAGGAACAGATTTCTTCTATTACTACTTCGACCAACTCTGTCATTATCCTCCCCAAACATTCAGGTAGGCACTCCATTTTTGTCTATAGGAAAGGTGAAGAAAAACATCTGAGCACCACCCCCACTTGATATTTCAAGAATTAGTTGACATAACAAGTAGATACAAGTGACAACGAGTAGAATTAAGACTCGCTCCACTTTGGAACTAAAAGGAGATTTTGATTATATCACAGTTGTAATTTAACTACAATAATTGAATTGAAAATAGAACTCAAGTCTACCAAACTCTAGTTCAATACACTTACCACTACTATGTCTCCTAGATAAGTAACAGAACTAGTTATATACCATAACCAGACTGTATATACCTGCATAAAGACAAGAGAACTGTGCAGATCTATAGGAATTTGCCAGAGAAATATTGTCATGGCAAATACTGAAATATTTCAAGGAGACAATGTAGGATGGAACATCCCCTGCATGGGGGAATTCAGTAGACGTCAGTGTTGTTGTAACCATTGCAGTTATGTACTTACCCTGCTGAGAAAGTTTACTGTAAACTTTTAAATCCACAATCTTCTGGTCTACTTGGAACCACCTGTTTTCTGAAAGTTCTGTCTTGCTATACCAAACTTTAGTAATTTGAGCTGAAACAAAAGCCAGTGAACAACCATTAACAAAAGTGAATTTTTTTCTTTTTATCTTCACCCGAGGATATTTTTGCATTTATCTTCAGATAGAGGGGGAGGGAAAGAGGGAGGAAGAGAGAGAGAGAGAGAGAGAGAGAGAAACATTGATGTGAGAGAGACACATCGACTGGTTGCCACCCACACGACCCCAACCGGGGCCGGGGACAAACTGCAACCAAGGTACGTGCCCTTAGCGGGAACCAAACCCAAGACTCTCTGGTCCACGGGCTTACACTCTAACTGCTGAGCCAAACCGGCCAGGACCAAAAGTGAATTTTTAAGACAATTTCCTGGGCAAAGAATATTACTCAATATGAAAACTGTCACTCATTTGCATAAACTCCAGTTGAGTTACAAAAGTTTTACAGAGGAGAGATGTATTTTTCTAAATCTTGTTTCTGGGAAGAAACTTCAGATAAATAAAAAACATTCTATACCTTTCTCCAAAATAAAACCATGTATTAATAAGCTACATTGAGTGTATTCACATATGTCCAGATATCCAAAGATAGACATTCGGATGGATGACATTTAAATGTAGCCCATACAGTTGATGGATAATGACTTTAAACATTGTTCAGAAGACTTCTGAAAATGGCTTATCTGCAACAAGAGTCACCAGGGGATGTTAAAATAAATCACAAAGATCTTACCATATACCTAATAAGTTAGCATCTCTGGAGTAGGATCTGACAACTTGTCTTTGAAATTCTGATGTGGCCTGCCAAACTGGTCAATGGGCCAGAATTTGAAAATAGAAAGAGAGAAGTTTATTTAAACACATAAGCTGGCCCTAGTCAGTTAGTGTCAGCCCTCAGACCGAAGGGTCTCAGGTTCAAGTTCCGGTCAAGGACATACACTTGGTTGCAGGTTTGTCCCCAGCCCCAGTCAGGGTCAAGTGGGAGGCAACCAATTGATGTATCTCTCTCATATTGATGTTTCTCTCTCTCTCTCTCTCTCTCTCTCTTCCTCCCTCCTTTCTACTTTATCTATAAAATCAATGGAAAAATATCCTCAGGTAAGGATTAACCAAATAAATAAATAAACACATAAACTGTGCATTTTCCAATTTTAGCAAATCTAGATTCAATAGCAAAATCCAAAAACAATATACTAGAGCATATGGTTTAGGACAATCTCTTTGAATATACTAGAAATTCTCTGCAAGTGTAAGATGCTCTATAATTCACCTAGCATTTTCATGTGTATTTAGTCAACTGAAACAGGTACTGTCTTCATTTTACACATAAGGTGTTACAGCTACTAGCTACTGACAGAGCTGTTATACAACCTAGTTCCGTTTTCTAGTCCAGTTTTCTCTCTACCATAACAGGTGTCCTCCAAAGCAAAGAGCCTTGTGTGAATGCCAGAAATCTCAGGCAGAACTGGACCATAAAAAGAATAACCGTAATAATGAAAGCTCCCCTAAGTCATAAAATCACTATTACACATACATGTTACATTAGGGAAGTTGTTTAGCTATTCTTCCAAAAGAAAAAACCCAGCAAAGATCAGTGCTAAGCAGTAGCAGAGTCGCTTTAGATACCCAGGAGTAAATTCAGATCACAATGACAATCAGATATAGAATTAAGACCTACCATCATCAATAGTTGTCCAAAACATTATGCCTTGGCCATATGTAAAGAAGTTAAGGCCCTGAATTCCTCTGCGGTCTACTCTGTATCTAGAACCATCTTGTTGAATACTTTCTATGAGTCCTCTCCCTGAAAGAGAGGTTCAGTTTATTTCATTGAGCCCAAACAGCTGTGCTTTATTTATCCTGCAGCTCTTTACATCTTGTGCTGCCTCCCCTCCAGGACCAGAGGATGTGGCATGCATTCTCTGAAGGCCAGTTCTTCATTCATTCATTCTACGCTAACAGTGATACATAAGGACTTGCTCATGCATATTTTTTAAGTTCTTGATTTTACGCCTTCACAAAGGGGCTATTGCATGACTATGGCCTGTTATATGCAACTCAGGATGGGGAATAATTGTATGTATTTGAGGTGATACAGAAAATATAAACTCAGCCCAAAAAGCTATGTGAAGTTATGGCTGAAGACCAGAAAGCTGAACATTTCTACTTCTCTCTGGCCAAGGTCCCTCAGACTCACGTTTATGGTGTAGGTAATAATTACTTACCAATATCTGCCCAGTATACTCGGGTCCCTGAATCTGAAAAGGTCAGACCCACCGGGACCTGGGATTTGTGCCACAGCACCTTCCTCCTGCGGCCATCCATGAAGGCACAGTCGATGCTGGAGCCACGCTCACCGTCATCCTGGGAACCCAGATCCACAAAACACATGATTGCAGTAGGTGGATAGAGCGCAACAGAGGTTGGGTGATACAGATTTTCGCTGAACAAGACAGTGGAATATTGGCCTTTAGACGAAGCCACGTTGATATGAGGAGTCTCACTGTCAATCCAATATGTGTTTCCACTTAACCAGTCCACAGCAAGGTCGATTACTGTTCCCTCCACAGATACGACTTTCTTCCAAGAGAGCTTTCCAGATTCTTTGAGCCTCAGTTGCCTGATATCACCATTACCCAACTCAGACAGGTAGAGTGCCTTTTTCTGGACAAGGTAGTCCATGGATGCCAGCTGCTTCACATTGGTAAAGGGAAGTATCCTATGCTCTGGTAAAGTTGCTTGTCCTAGGAAAGCTTCTAGATTCTTCAGATAAATCTATGGGAAAAAGTTAGGTGGATGGTACCAGTTGAGCTCAGTCTAATTCATTATCTTGATTTTGTGTTAACCTTAAGATACTTAAGTTCAGATTTTCATATATTCTATCTTCTAAAAAGCAGATAGCAGTTATTTCTCTCCTTTCCTGGAGCTTCAAGCACGTTTAGTTCCTTGAATTCGGGTGCTCTGAAGGTTTTACTCCTCAGTTAAAGGCCCTCCCCTTTACATGAGCTTCTGCTATTAAGATCTTAAGGAAGCTAGAGTTTATCTTCCACCCCAAAATTTGTTTTCTTTTTTTAATGCCAAGTCCTCTAGATGTCAGACATTAGAGGTGACTTGTTTGTCAGTACCTTTTATACCCCTACGATTTAAGAAAAGTTTCCTCACAAAATGTACTTGCCCTCACTCCCAGGCTAGAACAGAACCAGGCTCTTTGTATTTGGAATTACTCTACATCATTATCTAGGTGCTTGGACAACCTAACACAATTGTCTGAACTAAACTGAACTAATCGCACTGTGTTCTGATGTACTATTTCTTAAGGAATAGGAAATTTAAGTGGAAGTCATCCTTATTGCATAGCTGCTTTACGTTGGTCATGATAGCACCCAGCACACAGTGAATACTAAAATTTAAGTGATATTTGAAGAATATTTCAAGGGAAAGAGTCCCTACTATTTATAACTGTACATGAAGAATTCAGATTACTCAGTCTGAAATAGAATGCAGCCCGAGCACAGACAGGTGAGGAAGCCCGTGGACAGTACCTGCATGATAACCGTGGGCAACGCAAGGAACAGAAATGCAGACTCCTTGACGGGAACACAGTTGATGTCATCATCTGCAAGCAGGAGTCCGACCGGGCAATGACAGCTTCCTTTGGATCGTGGGCTCAGAAGGCACAGGTGAGAGCATCCAGTGTCCAGACAAGGATTAGAAGACCTGGGCTGTAGGACTTGGTGCATTATCTGGAAGAAATATGCATTACTGAATCCTTAAAAATAGCAGATGAGTAAATCTTTCTTTTTAATCATTTTAGATGCATGTCACTCCAGTTTGTACTTTGGGAAGCTCATATTTGTAGCTTTTTCAGGGAAAATTAGGGGGATATTTTGAAGAGTACACTATAGACCTTCAGTCCATAAGGCTGTTCAATACGCTTGATGAGGACAGCTCTGTTCTTGCCTGTCATCTTCTTCATACGCTGTACTGTTCTTGTCTTTGTTTCAGACCAGAAGACTTCATCTTCCAGTACAGCAACTGAAAAGGGGCTCTTGATCTGTGTTAGCTGCAACATCTACAATGGTGAAGGTGAGGTTTCTAGGATAAGTTTTACACAAGATGCATGACATTTCATGCAAGTTTAATACCCAAACAACACTTACACTAATACCAGTACCATCTAGATTGGCAGAGCCAATACAGTGAAATTTGCCATCAGACCAGAATATCTTCCAGCTCAACTGGTCAATAACTAAGCTAGTTGGCCAGCCAAGACCTTCATTGATGAGTACTTTCCTCCTGCTACCGTCCATTCCAGCTTGTTCTATGCGAGGTTCTCCTCCAACTTCAGACCAGTACATTAACCTATGTGAATAAAAGTCAGCTTTGGGATAGAGTATTACCTCACTGAACATAACGTCAATTCATCCCTTAAAACAGTGATTTGCAGCTCAATTATTTTTTTCTTCAAATGTAAACTTGGTCTATTCCTTAAGCATAGTTGTGAAGTAGTAAAAGATTACCTTAATATTTTATGGTGATTGTTTAGTCATCATTTGGGGGTTAAATATGGTGATGGTTGAGTAAGAAGGCTAGAAATACATTAGTCCCTAAGCCATGGAAAATATTTAGGGAACCTGACAATCTCTTCCAGGCTAGAAAGTATGCTAGTTCCATGGGCAGGCATGTGCCTTGGACCTTCTTCTTGGCCACAAGCCATTAGCTGAATCAAAACTACTGTCATTTTGCTGAGGATCATGTTAAAAGATCTCTGGTTGAAGGTATTGAAAAAAGTGAGAAAACAGAGGAAGGATACCCATTCTGGGTTACCTCTGAATCCTGAGTTTTGCTCTGTCTTATTTTTTCATTTGATTGGAGATATATATATATATATATCTCCATTCATCCCAATGAGGACTTGGTTCTGCTAAGTATGAAATGTCTCTAGTATCTCTAAGTTCTTGGAGAAAGTACTCTAGATGAAAAACCCAGGTTCAACCCCAAGACACAGTTATTCTGCCCCCGCCTCACCAAGCACATTATTGTAAATTAAATACTATTCTTAGTTCCATTCTTCTACCCCCTCCCCCTGCAATTTTAAAGCCATAAAATGTCTCTATTCAGAGGTATATTTGTTTATTTTGGATAAAGGAAGAATAGGTGGGCCACCAACTGAGTAACCTACATCTCACCTTACTGAAATAAAGAACTCTTTCCAGAAACTTTCAAAATTACTATGTGTGTGGTTGACCTCATTATCATAAAATATGAAGTCAGATAAGGTTTCTTCAATTCACTTGTTCTGTGTTGAGTAAGCACAACCAAAGAAGAACTAAGGAGGAATAACAAACTTAAAGAACTTGTCCAGACCCTGTCATGCCTGGACTCACCCATTTAGGGGATCTAAAGCCAAAGACCGTGGTTGATTCAAGTCGTCATCCAGGACAATCGTGTACTCAGGTTTTCCTCTCCAAATAGCAGTCAACTGAATTGCCAAAATCTGGCCAGCTGTCCCATCTGTCCAGTAGAGATTCCTCCCAATCCAGTCAACCACTATACAGTCCGGCTTTATTCCTGAAGAGAGGAAACCATTCCACATGTGACTTAGGTTAAATTATAGCTCTTACTAGCTTTCAGCTCATAGGCATCAGACCAGAATGCCATGTTAATTCATTTTTCAACTGATATATATGCATTTGCATCAGAGCAACCTTCTTTAAAATGCTCCAAAGTCCTATTTGTATTTGGAGAGAAAGATGACCATTACTCATGATGATCACCGGCTGATAGTTTGGCTGTCTGTTGGAGATGACAATGCATCTTTCCATTTCAACCAACCAGTGAGCCTCAGTCCCTTTTAATTAAGGAGATATAATTAAACCAATGTTTAGAATGTTAATGGCCATTCATTTTACTTTTCATGCCATGAGTATTTAGTAAGGGCAAAGGGCATACCTCTTACTACAGTCCCTTTCTTCTTTGTGTCCATGCTTATCCACTTAATGCTTTCTGCACCGAGCTCTATCCAGAAGACTTTCTGATCCAGTAAGTCATAGTCAATCGAGAAAACAATCAGGTTCTTGTCTGTGGCTGCCAGAATATCTTCTTTCAAGCTCCTCAGTCCGTAGAGAAGCAGGTTAAACTGAATTGCCACAAGCAGGATCGGTTCAGGGCCTGTTGAGTAAGAACTGCTTTCAGTATGGTCTTGAGGAGTTCAAACAGTAAACCCCAGCAGAGGCTAAGCAATGAAAGGACAATGTAGTCTTTGCCTTCTCGTTGCCAGGGCTGTGATGCCAGCCATCTGGTACCTAAGTAGCTCTTCCCTCGATGTAATAGTTAAGCGAATACCCACATTTGAAGATACTTAGAATAAAAGCATGGTTAGCTTAAATGGAAAACCACATTTCTAACTAAATATTTGGGGGTAGGTGGGCAGGAAAGGAGTGTTTGTTAGAACTTCAGACACTTATTTTAGCTTCAGGTAAGGTTGACCCATGGATACAAAAGCCAGAGTTATAGTTTTGTTATAATAATGTCTTATTAGTAGATGCTTTCAAAGTCGAATTCAGTCTGAAATATGAGTTTTTGTTTTTGTTTTTAAAAAAGGTGTTTTTGGATTCTGCTGGTCTTGCTCTAAAGACAGACAAAGCAGGCAGGAACATTTAAGACCCGAGAAAGAGAGATTTGCATTGGTACTCCTGGAAGATTTAGGACGTTGAAGCCTGTGACCCAGCTGAGGAGATAGTCCCAGCTCCAAATAACCTGTTGCTTTACAGGTGTGGCCATCAGGCTCCAGCGAGTAGCCAGGACGACAGGCGCAGCTGTAGGAGCCCTGGGTGTTGACGCAGGTCTGACTGCAGGGCCGACCCCCCAGCCTCTGGCACTCGTCCACATCCTCACAGCTCCGGCCGCTGCTCCTCAGCTCGAAGCCCCGCTCACAAGCACAAATCTGAAAGAGGTTCATGAAAACGGTAAGACTTTCCGAAGACAGTGCAACACTAATACAAAGGCCTCGACCTTGCTATAAAAAGCAAGAGGCAGCACATTCAATTTCAGCAACTCAAATGGTTCTTGGAACCCACTTTATTTGAATGCAGTCACTCTCTTCTCCCCATCAGCCCTGCCACACCCCTCACACCCTTGCCACCACCATGGGTCCCGAGCTAACAAAGGTGTCCACCTTCAACCCAGGACACCTAGAACCCTAGCATGAGCAGGAAGTGAAGAGGCAGGCAGACCCAACTGGACTGGCTGTCTACCGGTAGAGATGTTACCATCACTAGACACAAGAACCCCGTTTTCTTCTACTTGCCCGTCAGAGCCAAGGTCAGCCAACTAATAATGCTAGACAAGAGCACAGGCCATCCTTAATCTGAGGGCAGGTCACATTCCGAATAACTCACAGGGAGAGGACTTCCTTATGGGTAAGTGCTCAATGTCGCGAGCTGCGGCTTAAAGAGAGGATGATTTGGCTCTTGGGACAACCACAGAAACTTCTTGCTTAGCCCTCAGTGTGACCCCGAGTTCATGGCTGGGTGGAGGAGATGGTAGCAGAGTCTGTGGAGGATGGCTGGTAGGGGTCCAGAAAGCACGAGACGGGACTCCCCAGGAGCCGGCTTAGCCAGGCACAGGGACTTCGGTGGGTGGCTCGGCACAGGGCTGCCACGTGAGACCGAGCTCACGGAGCGCCCAGGGACAGCCTGCACGGGGCTGTCAGAGCCGCGAGAGGACAGGACGGAAGCACTCACGGGGCCGCGCGGGGACGGGAAGCAGGTGTGGGCACACTGGGCCTGGCTGCATGCTGCCGAGCACTGTCCCCCTTCGTCCGAGCCGTCGGCACAGTCCTCCTTCCCGTCGCACACCCGGCTGAGGTTGAGGCAGGCGGAGGGGCGGCACTGGAACTCGGCACTGCCGCACGTCTCGGGGGCGCCTGGGGACGGACGTCCTGCCTGGGTGGCCCACCCGCAGACACCCACCCTCCCACAGCAAGGCCTCCCTTGGGGACGGGATGCCTCGGGTCCGGGAAGGGTTCCGGTCCTGGGGCACGTGCTGGCTGAGCTGGGCTCACACCACCGGCAGCGGCTGGCAGGGGCCCCTAGGAGCCGGTCGCCCCTGCCCCCGTCAGGGAAAGCCCCGCGCTTACACCCGGCCTCGTCGCTGCCGTCCCTGCAGTCCCGCTGCCCGTCGCAGTGCCACGCGGCAGGCACACACTGGTCCGCGCTGGCACAGGACCACTGCCTGGGGCCGCACCGGAGCTCCTGGGGATGGCAGTCCTGAGGAGACAGTGCGGGCTCAGGGACAGCGGCGTTCCGCCCCGGGAGGGAGGGGGTCTCGGAGGAGGACGCCGGTGTGTGGGAACAGTCCTCCAGAGCCCCCCGCAGGCCCGGGCAGAGCCCCAGCAGAGGGGATGCGCTCCTGAGATCCCCCCTGGAGCGGAGCTTCGGCAGGAGCGCGCGGTGATCCAGACGTGAGTGGAAACCAGGGAGACATGTCTCCTTTTGTCACATTAGAAAGTCTTAATGTAAGAGGCGTAAGCAAAGGAATCTGCTCTGGGGCCTCTTCTCTAGAATGTTCCCGCCTTGTCTAACGCACACCCCAGCACACTGTAGTTATTTTGCACCTAATCTGACTTGATGCTCAGGTCTGGTGTGGGACGCACAAGGGGAAGGGAGGGGACGTCTGTGGGCCTGCTACACCCAGGTCCCCTCTAAACCTTAGACACCACGAGACATATCTTGTACCCATTTCGCTGACGAGGAAATAGAGCGGGAGGAAGTAAGTACTTTCTTAAGGTCAAATGCAGGCCGTAGGATTCCAGCCCAGGCTGCCTGGTGCACAACGTGGGAGCTTCGGCGTGCTCCATGGTGACGGGGAGCAGAGCTCCCCAGCGTTCTCTGCGGGGACATCGAAGTCATAGCCTAAGTCATATCAAGGCCTGACAGTTGCAAACCTCCTACAATAAAAAGCCTCTCGGAAATCTGTCTTTCAACAGGATGTTAACGTTTTGGACACTTTGGTGTAGTTACAAGAGGCTTTCTGGCTAGTAATTAGGGGAGACCTTCTGTTTCAGGGTTTTCTGACGTTTCCCACAGGGAAGTACGTGTTACTGTTGCGGTGAGAAATCTGTTTTTCTGAAGGAAGAGTGGACTACCTTCTCATCGCTTCCATCTTTGCAGTCTAAGTCATGGTCACAAATCCACTCCGCCAACACACATTCTCCACTCCTCGGGCACCGCACCTCCCCCGACGGGCACCGCAGGGGCCAGGCAGCAGGACAGCCTTCTTCATCCGAGTGGTCCAGGCAGTCCCGGTTCCCGTCACAGTGCAGAGAAGAAGACACGCATTGACCATTGCTACATCTAAACTCAGATATGCCGCATTTCTCGTGAACTGAAAAATAAAACTTAGGTAAAAACTCAGCCAGATATAGAAGTGATTTGAAGGCAAATAAAGGGGTTCGGAGACTTCTTGTTCCTCTCCTGTCATCTTGGGAACTAAGTCCCAGCAGGTATCAGGGCAGAAGGTGGTTCAGGTGGAGTGTTAGGCCAGACAAGGCCAACAAAACTAACCCAGAAAATCCTCTGTCCTGGAGAATGATGGCAGAGCGACAGAGATGGAAGGACACTGAGATAAGGACAGTGGGATTCTCCTCTGGGGCCTTAATGTCATCCATGAAAAAAATTATCCCACAATATCCAACATACCCTGTAATTTATGTTCTTAGACTCAATTTCTATAGACAGAAGTTGCTTGACTTGGTTCAAGAAAAAGAGTCAGGTCCCCAGCAAAACTATAAATATGTATTAAAAAGTAGCTCTAGCTGGTTTTTCTCAGTGGCTATAGCATCGGCCCGTGGACCAGAGTCCCGGGTTCAGTTTCCGCTAAGGGCACGTACCTCGGCTGCAGTTTGTCCCCAGCCCGGGTTGGGGTCATGTGGGTGGCAACCACTCAATATGTCTCTCTCACATTGATGTTTCTTTCTCTCTCTCTTCCTCCCTTACTCCCTCCCACTCTATCTAAAGATGAATGCAAAAATATCCTCAGGTGAGGATAAAAAAAAAAAAGAAAAAGAAAAGTGAATTATACCTGGAGTTCCTCCGTAGGTCCTTCCTGTGTCTCTTTCCTCCCAATGTTCTATAAGCCCAAGTGCAGTCACCTCCTCTAGCTCCCAGCTGCCTCCTGATGCAAATACCATGGTGCCTTCTCACTCCTCACGTTCTCTCCTGCCCTAATCCCACAACGTGATTGAGGTCTTTGCAACATGTCATCAGGACGAATAAAAATAAAGACCGTGTATCCCCCCAAAATGAAGGGAAAGCAATGACACCTACAAATGAGATGGCCCATCCCAGGAGAACACATAGGACCAAAGTTAAAATCTACAGGGAGGGTGACTTTATCTCAATTACAAATAATACTTTATTTTGGTAGTAGACTGGTTTTCCACTCATGGAAATCTTCTTGTCATGGAAAGAGAATAGTTATAGCATGATGGTCAAGGTCCCTCTCACTCAGAAACTTTCATCTTCTCTGTTAACTGCGTAGTGACAACAGTCGATCTTTACTGCCTGTGGATTCAGTGTTTGCACATTTACCTCCTTGCTTACATTTATGTGTGACCCCACGAATCAATACTGCCACACTTTCATGGTTATTAGCTGAGATATACACAGCAGGAAAATCACTGAGCCCAGCCGGCATGGCTCAGTGGATTGAGCATCATCCCACGCACTGAGAGGTCCCAGTTCGAATACCGGTCAGGGCACATGCCCGGGTTGCTGGCTCGATCCCCAGTATGGGGCTTGCAGGAGTCAGCCAATCGATGTTTCTCTCTCACATCGATGTTTCTATCTCTATCTCTCTCCCTTCCTCTCAATCTAAAAAATCAATAAAAACATATTATTTTAAAAACTGAGTTGCCTGATGTTGAGGAAGGCAATGCTCTGCCTTCTTGTTTCATTTCTCATACTGGGCATAAGTATGCTGTTGCAGTCTCCTTAGGGCCATGCTTTTCACATTTTTTGTGCTTTTTGGTGATTTTGCTCTTTAAAATGGTCCCCAAGCGAAGTACTGGAGTGCAGCCTAGTGTTCCTACATGCAAAAAGTCTCTGATGTGCCTGGTGGAGAAATTACGTGTTAGATAAGCTTTGTCCAGGCACAAGGCACAGTGCCCTTGGCTGTGACCTCAGTGTTAATGAGCCAACAGCACATATTAAGTTGTCTTTCAACAGAAACACATAAAACAAGGTTGTATTCTGATTGGTTGACTAAAATGTAACCAGAGACTTGTAGAACCCTACCCTGTATTTGTTCTAGCAGCAATGATTCGCTATCTGCTAATTCAGTGTTCACGGCAACTGTATAGAACCTAACTACCAGGAATAAGGAGAATCCCCTGCAATCAGTTTAAAACAGTCCAGGGACGTGTCCCGGAACTTACTGCACCCTTGCTCATCCTTTTCGTCAGAACAGTCTGGGTTGCCGTCACACAGCCAGCTCTTCGGGATGCAGCGTGTCGCCTTGTCACAGCGCAGGGAACAGTCTTCCGTGGGCTGCCAGCAGTCCAGCTCGTCAGACCCATCCACGCACTGCCGGGCCCCGTCACAGTGGAATCTCGCCTCAATGCACCTGCTTCCATCCAGACACCGGAAGACCCCTTGAATGGAGAGGGCCAAACACTAGCACCATACACTTGGCCACACTGAAGGGTCAAACTTACATGAACTCACCCTCATTCTGGAGGTTGAGGAGTAAATAAATTGCATCTTATTTGAGCTGTAGTTCGCTGTTGATCCATAAGCAAGCTTTAATATAATGCTCTGGTCAGTTAAGTTAGCAAGCTGGCCTTGGCTGTTGAAATAGGGCCTCATATTTGTTTGGTTATTTTAATGACTTGTTAGAACACTACCCAGTGGTCCATTTAGGTCACTCTATGGTCAGCCTATATTAGGGCAAATATTGGACCACTTCAGCAAATCCGAGGAAGCAAAGAAGCAATGCCGCCTTGCAGAATTGGTGTTCAGACTATGACTATTATCTACGGACAGCAAGTATGATTATTATAAATGTCCTGGCAGTTCATCCCATGTTTTTGCTCAGTGTACCTGGAACAAAAGACTGAGCGGAGGAGATGATGGCAGACCTGGTGTGTTGCACAGATGGGAACAGTTCTCTTCATCGGAGCCATCCGGACAGTCACGCCCACCGTCGCAGAGGTGCTCCCGAGAAATGCATCCCTCCCCGTTCCGGCAGGGGACGGAGGACCGGGTGCAGAGCAGAGGGGGCGGCGGAGGGAGAGTAGGAGGGGTGACTGCGGCTGCTCCTCCAGCCCCGGGATCTAGAATAAGCAGGTGCGTCAGCAAGTCAGTCCACTAGATCTTAGCAATGGACATGGGCTTCTGCCGTCCCCTCTGCCAGAAAACCAGGCCATGGCTGGGTAGCTCCATCCTCCTACCTCAAAGAAAGGAAAAGTGAAACTGACCCAAAGCCTAGATCTTCAGATGAAATGTGGTACATTCGTCCGTCGTGTATTGGCTTTAAATTTGGGCAAACTGTTTTCCACTTTCAGATCTATTGACTCTAACCTTAATTTTTTTCACCACCTAATGCTATATTCTGGGAATAAAAAATAAAGTTCTGAAGATAGGGACCTGTCCTGTCTCGTTCCCTGCTACACCATCTCTGGCCTAGGACAGGGGCCAGTATAACGTGGACCCTCATTTGTTGAGATGAGTACGTTACACGATGCAAAGTTACCAATAAATACTCTCCAGTAACTGTCACAGCAACCTAACAGATTTATTAGTATACTAATCAAAATTGGATTTGTTACCAAAAAGTCAACTGTTTATTGAGACACTTTACCACCTCAGAAATATGTTCCCATGCCTAATGCTTCTTAACTCTTAACACATTGTTGACCGGCAATTTTACGCAGGAGTTAGCTCATGTCACCGGCTATTTTTCCATAATTGCATATGAAAGTGAAACAATCTAAATAAACTTCAGGATACTTTATTTATACATAATGAATTTAAATGAAACTTTGTGCATGTCTGCTATATTTTATATTTTATTATATATTTTAGTAATTTTTTTGGTGTGGTATACTATATAGCAATCACCTTTTGAAACACACACTTTACATGTTCTAGTTGGACTTTTTTTATACCAGTGACCATTTTTTCTAAAATGTGGTCTTTCAGTTGCCCCGAAAGCCTAAAAGGTGAATCAATGTAAGGAGCTCTTTTAGAAGGACCAGAAGTGCTAGGTTCTGAGCTGCACTCATTTGAACCAGCAGATATCCATTCCCTAGCTACTTTAAGAATATAGAACGGTGTACTGTTTTTCAAATTTCGACCCTCAGGGCGAAGAGTTACAAATATAATAATCCTAAATTACCCTGAGTTTCAAAAAATTGAAATAGCTAATGCAAGTGCAAACCCGAGTTAACTCGTGAGCGGTCAACAATGTGTTTAAGATCAGGTTAAACCAACCATTGAATCAAAAGGTAAGACAGACAAAAGAGGGAGATGAGAGACTGTGGATCGGGTGCAGAAGAGAGGACTGCTTCCGTCTCTTTTCATTTCTGGGCTTCCTTTGGACTTCCAGCTACTCTGTCAACAAAAGCTTCCGATTCCTGTGATAGGATTTCTTCTTCTGCCTCAAGATCTTAGATCAGATTTCTGGGCTCTGTGCCAAAGACTTGCATGAGAAAAAAGGGTAAACCAGCTTTAAGCAGGTGAACCTGAATGACAGGTGCAGCTTCTGCAGAAAGAGAGCCCTGCCTTTCTCGGTGGCCACAGCCCCTGGGCACCTTTGCCCTGGGTCCTCCACAAGATGTGGCCGCTATGGAGAAAGGGGGTTTCTTGATGAAATCGGGTTGGGAGACTGCTTTAGAGCAGATTCAGTGGATCTCTTTACTGCCAGACTGAGAGCTACAATATGCTACTGGGCAAGATGGCTCTCAGGAGGGGCCACGGTGTGCGGACTTCTCGAAGCATTGCTCCGGGACTCGTGTCATTTAGCAGCTTGAGAACTGTGTTAGATTCTTGCTCTCCTGGGACATGGACAAGTTAAGGAGAAAGCCCGCTGAAGTGTGGGCTGGGCCACAGCCAGACAAACATAAAGATGCCCAGGATCTTATCCCATAGAAACACCCAGAGAAGAACCAGGTGAGGTGGATCTCAAAGAATAACCCCACAGAGGAAGACTCACCTGGTACCTCTTGGTTCTCTGCCAGGACGATCATTTTCCGGACGTGTGGCTCTCTGAACTCCGAGAGGGGCTCGAGCGTCCTCCGGTTCCAGAGCACAAGGGCTGTTCCATTCATCGTCACCAGGTAGGGCTCGTGGGCGGCTATCATGCCGTCGCTCCAGGTCTTGTTCAAAGTATAGGTCCTATTTTTGAGGAGACTTAGACTTTGCAACCCTGAGGAAGAGTCAAGTTCTTACAAATAACCTGTGACAGTGGGGTACGATTCGACTGAAATGCAGTGATCCCAAATTAAAAATAAGCCCACATTCTCCCTATGAAGTTATGTGGGTTTAGTTTTACAGTTAATGATAGTCCAGTGAAGTGTTTAAAGCTCCGGGAAAGGGATCGGCTGAGGTCTGCCTGGGGGCACATCGGGTGGGACTTGACCATCTTCCGTGTAGGCACTGAGACCCTGGTCGTCAGCAGGTAGCCAGCCGCCAGGCCTCACGGGGAACTTTTCAGTCAGAGGACGATCAGATTTGGTTACGCAGTATAACTTGTTCCTATTGTCAACAGTAGATGTGTCCACATTTGCTGAGCAGAACTGAGTTTGATGTGAGTGACTCGTGCCCAATCTCTAACTACAAAAATCAGAACTTCAGCCTGTGTCTACCTAGTTCTAAGAATAACTGGAATCACATGAAAAGCAAAACTCTCCCTCATTCCCTCAAGCTTCTTCCAACTGCGCTGGTTGTGTGATGCTTACCTCGCCCTTTGGTAGTCCAGAGGATGCTGGAGGAGCCCAGGTCCAAGGCCATGCGGGTGTCTGCCATCCAGGCGCCCCTCCAGACGTCCTGTCTGTTTTTGCCATCAAGAGTCATACTTTGCAAGTGTTTCCCACTTTCTACCCAGTAGAGCACCCTCTTCGGCCAATCGAGAAGAAGATGAAGTATAATGTTGCCCGTTCTGTAGAGGGTATGTGTGTCTGGGCCAGTGATTCTAGTCTTCTGAATAGCACCTCTGTCACAGGGCAGCCAGAACAAGTTCCCAGTGGGTATGTCCACATTTGCTGAGCAGACTGTAAGGAGAAAAATAATTCCCATTAGAAAGAGCTTCCAAATGTCCTTTCTTACGTTTTGGGTCAGGGATAGAAGGGAGATCACTGAGGGGTGCAAAGACCAATCTTTAACAAGCCCACACCTTGTTTGCGTGATTACTTCCCATCACGTCCACTCTGGATCCAGCACCACATCTGCCATCTGAGCTCATTTAACGCTTACCACCACCTGGCACGATAAGACACCCACTGCGTTTCCGAAGTTAGATACCCACGGGGCAAGGCGTGCATTTGAATGCAGGTCTGCAACTTCGGACTCACACTCCTTGTTCAAAGGTTAAGTATGAAAAGCAATCAACTACACGGCAAGTATCTAGGACTGCAATTGCAATAAGAAATCAGAAATTGAGCTACGGTGTCACCACGACAGTGGTATGGAGGTCATTAGTACAACGGATGGAGAGTAAGGAGATCTATAGCTGGAAGGCACAGATAAGAGAGGGGCCAAGTTTATAACACCTGTGAAGTGCTGCTCCTTAGATGTGAGTAACAGAGTTAGGCAGTAACCCACAAAGCACTCCCCCAACTCCCTCCTGCCCAACGCAGCTAGCTGTTCAATCGAGTCGAAGCTACATATCACCTGCTCTGGGATGCAGGATAGCATAAAGATTAAGGTCAGTATTAGGCGAGCAAGTCAGACTGCCTCTTTTGAACCACTATTTCAAAATAAGGTGTCAGTTAAAACCCGTGCCTCGGTTCCCACCGACGTCTGATAGAAATGGTGCTCCTCTCATAGAGCGGTGATGAGATAGAGTTAGTGCTTATGAAAGCTTAGAATACGCCCATGACGTGTCGAGCAGCTGTGGGGCTGGCTTGCACAAGCTCCTAACGGCCACTTGGTACATTCAGGAATTCTGTGAGCTTGTTGTTCAATACAGCCACTGTCAAGAAGTAAATCAAATCATATTTGAAAAAAACTAAAATACTTAAACCATTGCTTAATTATTTTCTTCTTTTTTTTAAAGCAGTAATCGGGTTGTTGTTTTTTTTCCTTTTCTTTTTTTTATTGATTTCAAAGAGAGAGGAAGGGAGAAGGACAGGGAGGTAGAAACATCGATGAGAGAAAATATAGACTAGCCACCTCCTGCGTGCCCCCCACTGGGCATGTGTCCTGACGGGGAATTGAACCAGTGATCTCTTGGTACAGGGGCCAATGCGCAACCACTGAGCCACACCAGCTGGACTTAATTATTTTCTTACATCTTACTGAGACCTATACTCTTGGTTACGGCGTCTATCGTATGTGCCTGGTGGAAATACTACTTAAAGGTCTGCTACTGCGCACGCCCCTCAACCCCCCACCCAGGGAGGCTGCACACGCGGGAAAGCTGGCACTGTGGGGATTTTCATACCACAGAAACGGCCAAAGCCTACAAATCAGGGTTTGACTTGGTTTTGTTCTCCGAACCTGCGACTGGCAAACAACGGCCACTGGGCCAGATCCAGCCTGCTGTCTGAACGCGTCGGGGGAACACAGCCATGGCCACTCACTCACACAGTCTGTGGCTGCCTTGGCAGAGGGCCCAGCAAGCCTGAGACACTTACGAGCTGGCCTTTTACCGAAAGAGGCTGACAGCTCCTGGTCTAGAGTTAAAATGACAGAGGAAATACTAATCTTTCAGATTAAACTTATCTGTGCTATTACATTTCGAATACCATAAGAAATGAGGAAATATCGTTTTCTAGTATTGGAAAATTACTATCCAATTCCACAGATAAGTCACTTGTCATAGATGATCTAATTCCAACTAGTCCCTGTTGCTTCACTTTCATTTCTTTTTTGTTTGTTTGTTTGGTCCGTGCCCCTAGTGGGAACCGAACCTGGGACTCTCTGGTCCGCAGGCCGATGCTCCAACCGCTGAACCAAACCGGCCAGGACCACTTTCATTTCATTTTTAGAAACAAGTGTCAAACAGCATTCTCATAGAGTCCACATTCACTCCGTCATGCGTCGGAAGTGAAGCATTTAATCATAGTTGGATTTTGTGCAATCTTGATTGGATGGCAACTACAGATTGGCTAAGATCCAAGAATCCAGAATAAGAAAGCACTCTCTGAGAATTAGTTGGCTACATAAAAATTACAAAAAAGAATGTCCTGTATCTCGTTATTTGTAAATGGTATTATGCATCCTTTATAACAGTAAGTGTTATTGTAAACATATGGAGGTGTATATACACACCCTTCTTTCCCTTAGACAACCGTTTGTTAAATATATCTCAGCACACCCTGGGTATTACGCTAAGAAATCAAATGTTAAGCACCAGGGAAGTCGACAAACAGGCAGGGCATGGTAGCGGGCACGGGTGGCAGGCGTATGTGCTTCCAGTTCTTCCTGCTTCCTGACTGTCCCTCACATTTTCCTGGGGGGAATTTGCTGAGAATTGTGCTTCTGAACTCTCCCCACACTCCTCCAGTCAGCCCTGCCCAGGAAAGACGTGACCGAAGGCAGGCACGCTGGTAGGAACAGGCTGGCCGCCCTCGGTCCAGCTTCTCCCTCCCTTGTCGGGCTCTGCCTTCGGGAGAAAATGTGCTCCCTCTGGAGTAAGATTTAACCTTGGTTCTGCTCAGGTTCAAGGGCGACAACCCGGTGTCAGGGTCACAGAACGTTCTTTGCACAACTCTACACAGGTTCTTCAAGACATGCACTCTTGTCTAAAACAGAATTTTGAAGCCTCTCATTTTTTTATTAGGAATTTCATCCGTAGTTTCCAACCTCAGCGTTCAATATGAGGACGAGATTAAGAAACGTGGATGTTAGTACACCTGATGCCAGGATAAGCTGGGAGCTGACGCTCTGTGGGTTGTAAGGAGGCCCTGAGATCTGTGAACAGGCCTAGACAGCAGGGATTGAGCTGGTTACCACCTATCAACAGCCTGCCTGTCTTTGTCAGACTGTTCAGCCACTGTGTGGAAACAACACTCTGACACCATGTGTGTGGGGTTATCCCCCTACACCACGCAATTCTGCAGCACCAGCTGGGTGTCCTACAAGTCATTTCAGTCCTGACACTAGCTATCGAGTTAGCATCGGAACCCACAGATTAAGAGCTCAGGCCCACAAGACTGCCCCCATGTCAGAGGCCAATCACAAGTCCCAGGCTGTCACCTGTACCCCTAACAAAGGGCTCTAAATCAGGGTTCCCACAACCTACTCCTTGAGTTCAATGATTTGATACAATGGCTCAGTGAACTCAGGAAAACACGCATTTACATTTGCTGATTTATTGTGCAAATGATACATATGAACAGCTAGATGAAGGGACACACAGGGGAACGTCTGGAGTCCAATTCAGGAGTTTCTGTCCCCATAAAGTTGGCATGTGCCACCTTCCCAGCATGTAGAGGTGTTCACCAGCTCGGAAGCTCTGTGAACCCCATACTTTGGGGGTTTTATGGAGACTTCATCACATTTGCGTGCTCGCTTACTGACTGAACTTCTAGCCCCTCTCCAGAGAATGGGGAGTGGGACTCAAAGTGCCCAGCTTCACGTCATGGCAGGTCTTTGTGGTGACCATGCTCTCCAGGAGTCCCCAAGAATTGCCTCATTATAACAAAAGATACTATCACCCAGCCGATTCCAAGGCCTTTAGGATCTGCGTCAGATGCTCCTCCTGCTCAAGTTTTTACAAAGGTTTTAGGAGATTGGGGACTCAGGACAGGAACCAATTTTTATATATTTTTATATAATTTCACAGCTGCCTACCACAGGGACTGAATGTTCAACACTAGAGAAGGCTCAAATGAAATTGTAAGATGTTGACAACCTCTTACAATTTCTTGATATAATAATTGTAACACGGAAACCCATTAACAAAGATGAGCCAGCTGAGGGATGGTAGCATTTTAATGAAGTAGGAAATTATGCATGATCAGGGGTTCAGTAATAGCCGTCAGCTGTATCCCAGACCACAGTCCATTTCGGTTTCTCCGGCAAGTCCTCCGGGTCAGGCACCGGAACTCCCAAGTGCCAGGCACCGTGCTGCCCACAGGACTTGGGGGAGCCTGCTGCTCCGCAGTGACATGCACTTCAATATGGCACTTTTTTCAGGGAAGACATCCTTGGGACGCAGCATGCGGAGCACACATCCAGAGATCAACGCTCACCGAGAGTTCAAGTCTCAGCTCTCCTTCATAAAGTAGGTGTTTACATTTAGGCGGGTACAGGCAGCTAAGGGTGGGATGTGGCATTTAGGAGTGTGGGAAGGGAGAGAAAGTATATATTACCATACTAAGAAAATATCTTGCTAGTTCTCTCTGAAATCTGCATTGCAAATTACTTCTAAATTAGTGGAAGAAAATCTGTAATGCAAAATTGAAGTATTTAAGGTTTATTTCTATCCTACTTAGACTTAAGGCCAGAAAAAAAAGAATTTTAAAAACCTTATTACTGACCCTAGGACTTCCCAAATCATGGTAGCCTTTTAACAGTCTGCACACCTCTCATAAGAACAAGGGCAAATCAGAGACACCATATTTCAATTAGTTTAAAACAACTCTTTGGCATTAAGATTGATTCCGATCAGGAACAGGTAGTTTTTTTTATTTTTTTTGGCCTTAATAATTTTAGAGCCAAAAAGTAAAGGACAAATCCACACAGCCGCCCCAACTGACCTGCACGCTCTGTCCAAATTGCTTGCTTTTCTCCTGAGTAGCCAGTTGAGCAGAACAGACGTCCCTGGGCACTTGTCCAGTAGATGAGGTTTCTTTTCCAGTCAATATCCAGTAGATAAATGTTTCTCGGGTGCTCTTGAACTAGGGTTCTCTCTATCGCAGTTCCCATAAAACCAACTTTCAACAAGTAGAGATGTTTGCCAGAGGAAAACACTAGTTTTAAGTCTACCAGGAAAAGAGAGATTTACTGTTTGACCATCTGTCAGAGAAGCCCCATGCTCCCGTCTTAGGCAATGCCCCCTCTCAGGCTGAGGCGCCCCTAGAGGGACCTTGATGAAGTTCACTCCCGAAGCACACACACAACACGGACGCCCTATCTTCCTTAGAGAAGGACTCATTTGGGCAAATGAAAGTGTTCCTTGGCTTCCCCAAGGCACTAAGTCCCCTGAATTTCTGCTGAACGGTGAACACAGAAGCATGAGGATTAGGGCTGGAGCCCTGCTCACTCCATCCGGCGATGTCGTCAAATCCTGGCTTACAGCACCCAAGTCTCAGTACAAAGCATTGCAGACTCTGTCACCATGCAAAGAAAAGTTACTTGGGTACTGAACTGCATATAGACTGTTCTGAAAACAGTTTGAGCTGAAGTCTTGAGTTTGGCACAACAGGGTATTACACAAGGATTCCACCCCTCAGCTGCCTGTACATTGCATTTTTTAAAGGTAGTTAGAACATAAACACATTTATGTCATTTATTCTTCTTAACATTTCAATGTTCTGCAGAAAAAAGTCAAGTAATTTGGATAGAGATGTTCAATGATTATGTAGTCTTTACTATTGCAAAGATGGCACAGCAACATGAAGGATTCTGTTGACAATATTGAAGCAGAGACACTGTTTACAAACATTAAGTCAGAACACACAATAAATCATAAGACTACAGAGGATTTCTTTTTTATACCAACTTAGTTGTTATTTTTCATGTAAAACTGAGTGGTGTAAGCTATTTATTTTCCTGGTTTAAGACTAATCAAACTCAAATATCCATTGATGGATAAATGCATGAACAAAATGTAGTATGTATGTGTATATATAAGAGAATATTATTCAGCCTTTAAAAGAAAGAAAATAGCCCGGCCGGTGTGGCTCACTGGTTGAGCGTTGACCCATGCACCAGGAGGTCGCTGGTTCAATTCCCAGTCGGGGCACATGCCCAGGTTGTGGGCTCATTCCCCAGTGGGGGTCATGCAGGAGGCAGCCGGTCAATGTTCTCTCTCATCGATGTTTCTGTCTCTCTCTCCCTCTCCCTTCCTCTATCTCTGGCGTCAATAAAGAAAAAAAATTTTTTTTAAAAGAAAAGAAAGGCCCTGGATAGTTTTGCTCAGCGGTTAGAGCTTTGGCTTGCGGTCCAGAGAGACCTGGGTTTGGTTCCCGCTAAGGGCACGTACCTCAGTTGCAGCTTGTCCCTGGGCCTGGTTGAGTTGTATGGGTGGCAGCCACTTGATGTGTCCCTTTCACATCGATGTTTCTCTCTCTCTCTCTCTCTCTCTCTCTCTCTCTCTCTCTCTCTTTCTCTCTCTCCCCCTCCCCCCCCCTCCCATTCTATCTATCTGAACAAAATAAAAAATGGAAAAATGTCCTCGGGTGAGGATAAAAAAAAAAAAAGAAAAGAAAGAAAATATATGTCACAATGTAGATGAATCTTGAAGACGTTATGCTAAGTGAAACAAGCCAGTCACAAAAGGAAAAATACTGTGCATGATTCCACTTATATAAAGTGCCTAGAGCAGTCAAATTCAGAAACAGAGAGTAAAATGGTGGTTGCGAGGGTGTGGGGGAGAGATAAATGGAAGTTATATTTAATGGGTACAGAATTTCAGTTTGGGAAGATGAAAAATGATGGAAATGGACAGTGGTGACGGTCACACAAAATGTGAATATTCTTGGCGCCTCTAAACTATGCATTTAACATAGTTAAAATGGTAAATTTTATGTTATGTATATCTTAGCGCACAAAAAAACCTAACTGAGGTGTTGTTTTTTTTTTTTTTCTTTTTTCTTTTGTGAGAGAGAGAAACATTGATGTGAGAGAGGAACCTTGATAAGCTGCCTCCTGCAAATCCCCTACTGGGGATTGAGTGTGAAACCCAGGCACGTGCCCTGACTGGGAATCGAACCAGGACCTCACAGTCCATGGGACAATGCTCAATCCACTGAGCCACACTGGCTGGGCTAGTTGAGGTCTTTTGATAATTATATGTTATCAAAGTAGGGTGTCTGTAAAAATGTGATTGATCCAAAAATGGAAGCTGCATGATTTCCAGGCCCACCATAGAACATGCCTCCGTGAGCCAAGCCCATTAACCCAGCATACTTACCGCTACATGTGCCAGACGGCAAAAGAGACATTCCCTCTGGACAAACACACTTATAGCCCTTGGGATGGACGGGGGACAGGAGACACAAGTGGCTACAAGAACCTGGAGCACATGCTGGGGGTCTGCCTATTTTAAAATAGAAACAGATTAGATACAGTTTTTGATTTATTTACCCATACTAGTTCAAAAATTAATACTCAAGGGGAGTTAAGTCATTTTAACAATATCCCTCCTGACTCAGGGATGCTGTCTCTTCCAGTCCCAATATACTTGTTACCTCCTAGGTTAGGCAGGCTGACCTTTGAACTTCCATGGTCTCCTGCCAATGCGAATCCCTAGCTATATTGAGCTCAGGACAATAAAACTTCAACAAACAGCATCTTCTCCCTTAGAGTTAAGGCAAAATGACCGTCTGACTTGCTTATAGGAAACTTCCTTAGAAGTAAATAGTGGTCTGGGATCCTTACTTTGGTTAGTCTTTTGGACCCAATTAAGAAGCATTATCTGAATGGAATCTGATGTAAAATTTCAGATTAACAAAAACTTTTGACTCCTAGTCAATGAATATTTGACTTTTTTTCTATAAGCAGAATGCTGGGCTTGATTCAATTTTCTGTTATCAATCGACACCATCAGTAAATAAGCCATTCTAGCCCAGTTTTGTGTATTTCAGACATTAAAAATGTCTTATTACCCTGTTTTGTGTATTTCAGACATTAAAAACCTGGCACTACGCTGGACAAGCACAAGGTACATGCTTGGAATGAGTTTCCCAGTAGATGTTTTGTTCAGTTCCTCTTACTTAGAAGTCCTGTATAAGTCTGGACTCATACCCAGAACATTTCCCCTGCCTCAAAATGGCAAATTCCAACAGATCGAGATAGAAATTTAGGTCATTTCTGGGTCCTGTTTAGTATGCATTCTGATTCATAAGCATTGCAAAAGCAAGCCTTGGACTTACTCCTGGGCTGTTGGGACTCGTGGAGGACGGAGAAAGCAGCTACGGAAATGTTCAGCAGCACCGCTCTCTCCTTGGGGGTGCGGGGTGAAGCATGAAGCAGCTGCATTTTATTTGCCCAGAAGAAAGAGTTCGCAAATACAGCTAGTCCTACTGGATCTTCATCTTCCAAGATCTCAGGAAAGGAGTGCCTGCCACTGCCGTCCACGTTCACCGTCTCTATGGACTGAAGGAGTGCAGTCTCATGAGAGCATGGAAGCATCAGCACAGTGCCGACAGTGTCAGAGCAGCTCAGCTTCTTGGACACTAATTGAACATCTTCACATATCAGCATGAAAGGGAGGAGCTCATCTTAGATTCATGGAGGCGAATGCCAAAGCCAGTATACTGAACTGCTTCTTGTACAAATGTATGCCGCACAAGATGCTACCGTAACTTATTGCTGCATCTAGATATCGTACCACATCCTTTCACCATATTCTCCAACTGCCTCCTGACGCAGGGATGCTGTCTCTTCCAGACAGCATGATGAGGTCCCATCAGTAGGCAAAATCACAGGCTTAAAAACATGACTCCCAAGCCTGTGCTTTAGCCACCAGGTCTCTTAGCTTGATGCTTCTAACAATGAGACAACCTGAACTGTAATATTAAGAACTAGAAATGCGAGTACAAGGCGCTGAAGTACCTGAGTAACCGTATGCTTTCAAAAAGTGGTCTGCCACCTTAAAAGGTTTCATACCCCAGGTACAACATAGAACACGACCTATACAACCAGGGAATTCCAAGTTTGAGAGTGTCTAAGAAAGTCACACTGTCTCCCAAACCAGGTCGATACAGTCTCAATCTGCCTAAAGATACTGGTCAATTATAACAGCTTGCTTTTCTCAGTTTTTATGGCCAGAAGATGCTTCACCAAGTTGATACAAGACTTAAGAGAATTTTGTACTTACCTATGGTCATCCCAAGCCCCAGCTAAAAGGGTTTACCTTTTCCTCCTGACCTCTCTACAGTACCTCTTTATATTTGCTGATCCAGTAGAGCCTGCCAGTCACGTGGTCAAGTGTCAACCCTACAGGCTGCTCCATGTTTACAACCGCAAGCACCTTCCTGTCCGAGCCATCCATCCCTGCCGTGTCAATGGTGCTCATGCCTCTCTGGCCTTGATTCACCCAATACAAGTACCTGAGAAAAGCAAAAGCACAAGGTAATATACGTGTCCCTGTTCTGAACAGCCAGGCTCCCCAGCTCTCGCATACAGGCCTCGTACCGTTGCATCGCTAACAACGCTGGAGGCTTCTGCTCCTAGACTTTGAAAGGTTTGGCTCCATATATTCAGTCTAGACATTGAAACTGAGAATTTTTCTGGAGCACATGAGATGTAGGCTTGAAAGGCTGACGTGTTCTCTTATCAACTAAAATATCTAAGATAATCAATGACTTTGGATATATTCCCAAAGAAACACTACTTACTTCTTTGCAGGAAACACAATTAGCTGCTCGGGCACAAGATCCTTTTCCAGGATTCTGACGTAGCCTCTGCCATCATTTAAACCAGCACAGATGACCCTTGCAAAGCTGCTCGCCCAATACAGCTGTCCCGTGAACCAGTCCAAAGAGATACTGTTCACTGTTTTAAGTTCTGGGGACACAGGAGACAGTATCATGGTCCTGTATTCTTCTACACTCATCTCCACTTGGAAAAAGAGACTCAGATACAACTTTTCTACAGCTTCTGGTTTCATGCTGCACAAGGAGGCACATAGGGTACAGGGAGTGATGGAAGGGTGTCTCTAATACTCACTGGGTGGTAGGGAGAGAGAAGGACCTTAGCAGAAGCATAACCAAGACATCCAAGAGAATGTGACTTCAGTTTGGGGCAATATTTATCAACGAAGTCTTGGGTGAATTGTCACCAACTCTACCTCTCCACTGCTATCAGAGGACTTCCATGTGCCCAGGATTATGCTAAGCACTTCTTGACAGGCATTGTCTACTTTAATCCCCATGCTTACGCAGAGGCAGGTGCTATTGACCTCGTCTTCTGTTGGGTGGCTCCAAGCAGTTAACAACTTCCTCAGGGTCACATACCCAATGATGAGGCTGAGACTAACCTTGGCCTGAGCCCATGTCCCAAAACTTAGTTTAATTCTACAAAGCTCCTGTAGAGCATACAAACTACGAAGTGTTATCTCAGATCGGGATTTTATGTACTGTCATGACTAATGATAAGTGAATCGCAGAGGAAAGTGTCCAGATGAATACATCTGCTTCTTACACTATGTTTAAGTAGCTTTAAGAAGCTAAGACTCTTAACATCAAGAAATATACCTGGATAGAGAGGAACAGAGTTTGGCTTTCCAAGGACAAACACATTTAAGACTTCATCTACCCAAAAGTACATGCTTCTCTCAAGATCATATGCAACAGAAGTAGGCTTTGATGTGACAGGTATCAGAGTTTCATAGATGCCTGTTCTTTGATCCAGGACACCAAGCTCTTTGTCTGCTGCTATAAGAATTCTAACAGCACCATCTGCAATAGAGGGAGAAGTCATGACACATTACCTTGACACTTTCTTTCCCACCATTCTCTTTCATTGAAGATGTTGTCCTGTTTCCCATGACAACGTCTACTTAGCTCCAAGTCCAGACTAAGGCATATCCAGAGGAGATCTAGTCGACCACTGAGTGTCTCAACTCCTAAAACTCTCACACATTAAAACTAATCTTCAGAACTTTTCTGCCTTATTTATTTCTGATTCAGCCCTTCTCCTCACCTAGACAGAGTCCTCTCTAATTTGTACACAGCAACCAAAGTAATTAAGTGTCCCATGGCTAAAGAAGCACAGGCCAGAGTAAGAATACATCGATTGGGTTTCTGGAGCACCTAGTTGTATAGCTGATGGAATAAATAAGCCATTTTAAAGACACTTAATAGCAACAAACACTCAAATTGGCCAAGGAATGTTGTAATAGCAGGTTCTTAATGGAAATAATAAAGTCATTTCTAATACTAGACCTTAATACTAGACCATCTGTATCACTTTACTTAAAATTACTGCTAAGAACAGAGCAGGAGCTAGGCTTTGCTTTGGGTGTTGGAACTCACCTGTAACTTGACAGGCAGTGCCATTGTGGAGCTGGTAACCTTGAATACACCCACAGGAGTAAGAGCCTGGGGTATTATGACACAGCTGGTCGCAAGGACTGTATGCCAGAGAGCACTCATCTACATCTGATGACAGAGAGCCAAAAGTCAGAGAAAGTCCATGAACCCACTTGAGTATTTTTGTTCTTTCAGGCCACTTTTCAGATGCTCATTAGATATATGTTAAGTGGAAGCCACTCTGCCAGGTGCTGAAGTAGACAGTCCCTGCCACCATAGAATTCCCATGCACATGAATATAATTTAGCAGAAACATCAATACAGGGACTCTAGGTGTTTGGTTGGTACAGAGTATTGATCTATGCTACCCTAGCAAAATCCTTGGGATATGTCACTTGTCAGGCCAGCCAGAACCTAATTCAGGATGACAAGTGTCAGGGCCTACTGTGCCATGGGACAGATCATCCAAGATGATGGAAAAGGCTTAAGCCTCACCGGTATAACTGGCAGGATTTAAATTCGGTACAATTATTTCCTCAAATCCAGATGGCAGGGAGTCAAAGGAGTAGGAGAGATTTTTTTTTTAAGCAGGAAGGAATGTTGTTTCTTAAGGGCAATTCCAGGAAAAAGTGTTCCTCCAAAACCACAGGGGACTAGAGTAGAGTCATGCCTTCCTAGCCCAGAGGAAGGATAATCAGTATATGACCAAGTCAAGCGCAGCAGCTAGTCAATCACTACAACAAGCCATAACCCAAGAAGGGTGCTGCAGGAGCCTTGGTGTGTAAAAACCAGACCCCTCCAAGGTCGTGACCAGATACTGACTTCATACTTCTAATGAAGGATTAATACATTTAGTTGTCTTATCTAAAGTAGGCCCATTGCAATTCTTGATGAAGTCTTCATATAAAAGTAATTGTTAGTGTAATTCTGACGCCATCTAATAAACTGGCTTTCCGTTTACATCCTTTCTGCCTAAGTGGGTAGGATTGCAGGTGGAGCCCACGAAGAGAGAAGGAGCTATTGAACAGGGGCCATTGACCAGGCTCGGGGTGACAGGGCTGATAGACCCTTTAGGACAAAGCATCAACCCTCCTAATCACATTTTAACCTAAAGTACTGTCTTATATTTTTATGTTCAAGTGCTACAAAGTAACAGCCATAACCTTTTCAGACTATTACTAAATTGTGAAGATACATGAAATTTAGGTTAGTCATTCTGGAATCATACCCCATTTTACAAAGGGGGAGAATGAAACCTGAAGGGCTGAGTGACTTAGAGAAGCTCAGCTGGGGGAACAAGAAAGGGTGGGCACAACCTGGGCTCTAACTTCAGCATCTGTCACCCATGCCACAGCCCTTAGGCATGGCCATGAAGTGACACGTGTTTCTATTCCATGGCAGAAACCCTGAAGCCCCATAAAAGAAAGATGCTAAATTCAACATTTTCTCATTAGTCAACAGTTAACCTGTAATTCCCACAAAAAGAGGATGATAACAAGCATTGGCAAGGTTAGAGAAACGGGAACCCTTGTGCATTGCTGGTGGGAATGTCAAATGGCACAGTCACTGTGGAAAAAAACTTTATAGTCCCTCAAAAAGTTAAATTAAACACAGAATTTACCATATAATCCAGCAATTCCATTTCCGGTATGCACCCAACAGATGTGAAAACAGGGACTCAAGCAGATGCTTGCATGCCAATGTTCACAGCGGGTTATCCACAATGGCCAAAAGGTGAAAACAACCCAAGAGTCCATGAACAGATGAATGGATTAAAAAAAAAAAGTGATATATTTGAACAATGGAGTATTATTTGACCTTAAAAAGAAAAAAAATTCTGATACATACTATAACATGGATGAACTTTAAAGATATGCTAAGTGAAATAAGCCAGACACAATAGGACAAATACTGTATGATTTCACTTATACGTGGCACTACAATATAAGCAAATTCATAGAGACAGAAAGTACATTGGGGTTATGGGGGGATGGGAAGGGGGTCTGAGGAGCTATTGTTTAATGGGTACGAAGTTTCTATTGGGGATGACGAAAAGGTTTTGGAAATAGATATTGGGGATGGTCGCACAACACTGTGAACGTAGTTGATGCCACTGAATTGTACACTTAAAATGATCAAAATGGTAAATTTTACGTTATGTATATTTTAAACAATAAACACTTTTTTTAAAAAAAAGATGAGCCAAATGCATTCTGACCTCCGCAGCTCTGGCCGTCCGGCTGCAGCTGCCATCCGGTTCCGCAGGAACACCGGACACCCCAGTTGGTGTCCCTGCACTGGCCCTCGCAGCCCCCGTTGGCCAGAGAGCAGTTTTTACCTGGCGCACATAGGACAGCCATCATTACAGTTGACCGCGGCACAGAGCAAACGTTTCATAAACCACAGGTCATAACCTCTACACTTGTATGAGGAATGGAGACTGGTTAAGAATAACCTTTGACCTCGCCTCTCACCCCGGAGTGCGGAGGCTTTGGGGGAAGGCTGTAGAAAGAGGAATCACGACGCAGGGACCAAGAATCTCTTTCCAGGTGGACCATCGGGACAATTTCAGGTGTTGGTACACTGTCCACTCATGGAGGGCCCAGGACAACTCCTCTATTTTCTCTACAATTTATGGGCAGCTGGAACCCCTTACCTCAGGAAGTGATATAATAATTTACAAAGCCCAGTGAGTTATCTATACAGGACCAGAAGCCTGTGCTTTGTCACATTGTTGTGTTCTTAATATCATTTTGTTCCTTTAGTAAAAAGCTTCTTTTGCAGCCTTTACAGTACTAAAGAGGTTTCATGGTCCATGACTAAAACAAAATTTGGGGGTGGTGGAGGAGAATACGAGATAAAGGACCAGAGGACCTAGGGACAGACCCCACAGTGGTTTGCACAGGAGAAGCACAGGTTGAAAGCAGGAGCTGCTGGCTCAGCCGCCTCCCCATCTGGAGATGGCCTTCCTCCGTCTTCCCTCTGTTAAATCCTTTGAGAATCTGCCATTTTGTCTTGGCAAAGTCTTTGTTCTTTATTCCAGAATTTTAGGAGGAACACAGTTTGAAGGGTTAGTCCGTTACCCAGAGGGGACACCATGAAAATAAGGCAAAGTGTCTCAGCTCAGGTGGCTTGAGTGCACTCAGGGGACCAACGCCGAGGAGGGAACGGCTTCCTCCCTGGAGGGGAACTGCTTGTGTAGGACCCAGTTCTCTCTGAGAGTGGCTCCCCGATGACCCCTAAGTCATTTAATCTCCATCTCCCCCACCCTCGTAAAGCCAAGCCATTGGTCTCTTACCACATGTGGTGGGCTCATCAGATCCGTCTGCACAGGCTGCTTCCCCATCACACACCAGGGACTCCAGGATGCATTTCCCCTGATCACATCTAACCATGCCTTCTGGACAGGAAGCTGTGCAGGAAGGGAAGCACTCTTGTTCACTGATAATTATGGGCATGATAGAAATAGGCAATACAGTGGGTAAGGTGGCAATATTTCTACAACCCAAAGCAGTCTATGTAGGAAACAAAGTTTTTTGGTTTTTGTTTTTTTTTTAAGCAGAGTTTCCAGGGAATTGGATTTAAGACTTAATAACAAAGATGTTAAGACCTCTGGGCATTGGACTGAAATAGTATTAAAGTTGAATTGAACTAGCACTAAATAGTTCTAATTAAAATGGAATTAAAGTCAGTCAACACTGGCCCTAAAAGATTTTCTGAAGAAACCAGGTATTTCTTTTTCTTTTTCTTTTTTTGTTAATTTATTTTTGTTAAAGATGTTTCTCCTTTTTTTCCCCATTGATACCCTCCTCCCCATCCCTCCCACCCCATACCCGGCTTTGTTGTCTATGTCCATTGGTTATGCGTACATGCATATAAGTTCTGTGGTTTATCTCTTTCCTCCCCCCACCATCCCATCTTCTGAGGATTGTCAGTCTGTACCCTACTTCCACGTCTCTGGGTCTACCCTATTCTTCAGACTGTTATGTTCATTATATTTCACAAAGAAGTGAATCATGTGATATTTGTCTTTCTCTGCTTGGCTTGTTTCGCTTAGGATGATACTTTCCAGGTCCCTCCATGTCATCTCAAAGGATAAGGGATCTTTCTTTCTTACAGCTGCATAGTACTCCATTGTGTATATGTACCACTCCTTTTTTATGCATTTGTCTACTGATGGACACTTGGGCTGTTTCCAGATCTTAGCTATTGTAAATAGTGCTGCTATGAACGTGGAGGGGGGGTTACATATATTCTTTCTGATTGGTGTGAAGAAACCAGGTTTATACTTCATTATAGAAATGGTAGAATCTGAATACATTGCAGACTGAACTCTAGAAAGGAAAGACGAAACGGCATTGAGTTTCACTGAGAAGTTGGAGGTTCCATCTGCACATGTGGGGTATATGGAAAGGATACAGCACTCACCAAGTTCTTTAGGTTCTTTGGGTGTTTTCCCCTCTGTTGAGGGAGTTTCTCCTTCCATGGTCTACTACACAGGATGTGAGGTGTCTCTTTGGAGGCTCTGGGGATTGGCCATAATGGAGTTGTGGAAACATTCTAGGAAATCCTCTGAGTGTCCAGTGCAGGGCAGCTATTGAAGCTCTGCTTTGTGTTTCCACGGGTAACTAAAGCTTGGTTATCGCTAGGAAACGTCTGTTTGTAGATGTGAGATTTTATCTCAGGCACAGGAATTAAAATGCAGCTGACAAAAAGCAGCCCCCTGGAACAACCAGATTCCCCTAAACATGAGGGGGAGGGCAAGACTTACCACAGACCTCCTCGTCCGAGGAGTCACCACAGTTGTTGACGCCGTCACACTTCCAGCTCTCCATGACACACAGCTTGTTCTTGCACTGCCACTGCCCGGCCAGACAAGGGTCTCGAGGACTGGCCTCATGGCCATCACAGGCTTCCCAAGCATCGCGGCACTCGGAAGTTCCTGGACACTGGATTTGTTGGTCTGGACATGCTGCCACTCTCTCTAAAAGACAGGAGTTGGCCCAGGGAGACAGGAACACTGTCCTACATATAGGCTTGTTTATTTAGGGCTTTATGGTTTTCTCATGGACTTTGTCTATAGGAAAAGAAGAACTAGAAAGGATGGTCGTCGTAATTGTGGAACTATGGCCACAACTTTGTATACTGAAGTCTCACCCCAAAGAAGTTAGGAAAAAAGTCAATAAAACTAATACTCTTTTTTTTATTTTAGGTAATTTTGAAAATGGAGACGAGGGTAAGAAATTCACCTGTTACACCAGAGACAATTTACCTTCTGGGTTTGGCACCTATGGCATAGGCTGTTTAGAGACTTGCTTATTTCACCCAGTACTGTTGTAATTAATCAGTGACGCAAGTACACAGAGACGACGACTGATGGTGAAAGTGAGGTGCACCTACCACAGCTGACCTCATCGGAGCCATCGGGGCAGTCACCGACACCGTCACAAAGCCAGCTGAGGGAAATGCATTTCCCATCATCACACTGCCAGGCTCCCGGATGCCCGTGACATACGTCCTCTGCGGGCCAGCGGAGGTGTTCGAGAACAGGCAGGGAGGAAGAGATGTTTGTCAGGACACTAGCAGCTTTTTAATTTGGGCTTCATCTCAGCTATTTTCATCCGCTATGGAATAATTCATTCCCGCTTTGCGGCTGGAGTCAACCCCAAGTTTGCCCACCCTTTTCATGTTACCCCTGACGATATCGGGGGCCCTGACCTTGCCAGGGGACCAGCACCGGCAGGTTAATAAAGCTTTCCTCCCCATCCTTCTTCCAGAACACTGCTGTCCGGGACAACTTCCTGTGACAAGGGAACCCTTTTATATCTGTGTTGTCCGGAATGAGGGCCACTGGTCACGTGTAGCAATTGAACACTTGAACTGTGGCTGGGATGACAAAGGAACTGAATTTATTTTATTTATTTAAATAAATGTATATCATCACATGTGGCTAGTGTCTACCCTTCATAGGTTGACTTATTTGAACTCCTCTGACATTTGAGACTATGTTAAGATCTAAGACATTTGAGATTATATTAAGATCTAAGACAACCTACAAACTGTTCGTTTTTGGTTTAATTAGATCCTTAAATATTTCCACTTAAGTATGCCTTCTGGCATATAAATATAAATATAAACGTGGGGAACTAGGGTGCAGTGTGTGAGGGGCATATCACAAGGCATTTCTGCAAGTATGAATCTTTTTTTTTTAATCCTCACCCGAGGATTTTTTTCTATTTATCTTCAGATAGAGTAGGAAGGAGGGAGAGAGAGGAAGAGAGAGAGAAACATCGACATGAGAGGGGCACATTGACTGGCTGCCTCCCGCACGACTCGACCAGGGCCAGGGACAAACCGCAACCGAGGTTCGTGCCCTTGACCAGAATCGAACCCACGACTCTTTGATCAGTGGGCCGATGCTCTAACCGCTGAGCCAAACTGGCCAGGGTGGGAGGCTTCCTCCTTTAACGAGGCATTTTCTCCCCCCATATTCACCACACAGGTTGGGAGGCATCGTTAGGAGCTGTTCCTTGTACGCAGGTGCCATGTCCCTTCAGGGGCTTTGAGAACTTTGAGCACAGAAGCACTTGAGCCTTACTTCAACAAGACATTTAAAGTGGCTAACTTGGTTTCCATGGTGTTGTAGCTTTCTTTGTATTCAGTTTGCAAAGCTGTTTTTCAGTTGTATAAAATCTCTAAGCATATAAAAGTTGAACTAGTTTATCGTATATAAAAGTAACTGTGGACGCTCTCCTCCTGGGAGCATGCCCACGCCTGTCCTGCTCCGCAGGAGTGCATCCCCAAACACTGAGGGTCCCCAGGGGAGACTTGCAACCAGGGGGAATCGGGCAGCAGCAGCTGACCCAGGCAAACCCCTGAACCTGTCTCCAAGGCTCCCTTCTCTCTGACTTCCCAGTGAACCAAAGCCACCCCACCCAGGCTCATTTCTTCCCTATAACATTTCTAGAGACCCGGAGCAGCCCCACTTAGTCTTTCTCCTATTGCTTCTTCTATCCTAAGCCCTTCCTTGTTTCACTGTACCCTACTTTAATATACTCTCAAAATAAGTAAATGAAGTAATCTGTGCCTGGGCTCAGCAAGGGTTTCCTATAAGGGAATGTCTGTATTATTCCAGTTTGAATAACTGCCACAGGTGTTTAAGCCTGAATTTAAGGTAAGAAGCCCGATTTTTGGCTGGATTCTCCATCCTGACTAACCTTCTATTTGTTTTGATAACAGTGGTACCAACACTTAAAGAGTCTTAGCACTGAATGCCTGCAACAACCCAGAACACCCGATATTTCTGAATACCCCCTAAGAGGGTAAAACCACGAGAACTGACGCTGTCACTGTTGGCCAAGTGCGTAGACGGAAGGGCCAGGCGTGGACCAGTACCTGGTCCAGTAGAGAAAAGTGCTTACCACACTGCTCGTCGGTCCCGTCGGGGCACTCCAGCTCCCCATTGCAGAGCCAGGCCACCGGAATGCATCTGTCACCGCACACAGCTTGCCTGGTCAGGTGGCACTGTGCTTCACCTGCAGGGGTGACCGAGAAGCAAAGCCATGAGAGCTGCTGGCTTCCTTGGGTACAAGAGAGCACCTTTTCATGACAAGCCGCGGTCAAAGGTTGTTTTGGAAGGTCTTCCTTCAACTAATACCCAGGAGAACAATAGGGGATTCAGAACCTAAAAACCCACATGAGTTCGACAGTACTGATCCTTTGGGACCATGCTTTTTGGTGTTTTGGTGTTGTTGCTTAGACTACCATTTGCCTCCCTGTTTTCCTATTAGAATGGGGCAGACCTGCATCTGTTTAAAGAGACCTGCATACTTCTTCCAGCTCTGCTTCAGTCTCAAAGGCTAAGAGTATGAACAGTTGCAAGTTTAGAGGTCTAGACTCAACGTACTTGACTCCAGCTTACTTTTAGATACGTGTAGATACACCTTAAAATGAGATTAGAGTTATGGGTCCTACAAACCATCTTTGTAAGAATGTCTCTGACAGTCTGGTAAGACCATGTGTAAGTTTTCAGTTATTTGCATGCAGTTGATTTACACTATCCGTGTTATCCAAGCCGTGCACTTATGTTTATTAACCTTGAATGACTAATGGTTCAGAATAAGCCGGTTGTGGGGTACAGTCCTCAGCGGGAAGCCCCAGGAAAACCTCACCATCTTAATTTACTACACCGTCCTAACTGGAGAGGAGAAAAAGCTGATCCACGGTTCCTAGAACCCAGAAGCCACACGCCCCATACTAGGGAAGGCCCTGCAAGCTGTAGTGAAGACCAGCAGTCCTGCTCCGGGGGTAATTGGTGCCGATGGAACGGAAAGTGGCACAAAAACCTAAATCATGGAAATTGACAATGAGAGCCACTGCGAAGATACATCTTCTCTGGTAACAGACATGCCTTAATCTTACCTGTATCCCTCTAAGATAGTGCTTCGAGCATAGTTACTCAATGTTTGACTTTTTAAAGGCTAGTTTATAAAAAGCACTTTGAATAAAATATTCAAGAAGTATGGCTATTAATGGATAGCTAATAACTTTGCCATCTACTCACACGTCACCAGGCACTTAACCTGATGTCACTTAACCTGATCAGAACCATTACCCCACGAGCAGGTTACCAACCACTAACATCAGGCTGCCCGGGTTGGGGTTTTGGTCAGACCACTTACTAACAGCTGACCTTGGGTGACTTACTTCCTCTCTCTGGACCTTGATTTTCTTGTCTATAAATGAGGCTAGTAAATGAGTAATCCTAAAAGGAAGATTCAAGGATTAAGTGAGCACAAAGCCGTTTGGCACAGCACCCTCCGGATAAATGCTGATAAAGCATTCATTCTCTTGCTCCCTCTTCCAGCAGATCCTTCCAGAAGGATCCCCATTAGATTGCAGTCGGCCCTCAAAGACTCACACTGCTACCTGAGTCACGCCTTGAACAATATTCTGCCCTGGGGATTCTCAGTCTGGAGACCAAGTGTGCATCTAGGTTCTGCACATTATCTGCAGGTGCGTCTCATATATTACTTTCCAAAATTAGGTAGATGCTTGCTGTGAATAAACAAGAATCTTATTTATAAACATAGTTATTTATGTATTAAATATATGGTAGCTTTCTCGTAGTCTGTCAATATACAAAGCACAATAGCCATGGGCTGTCCCAAATCAGACATTATAAAGAGGTCTTCCTTCCTACCAGAAGGCATTGAACAGCAACACTTAGTAAAAAGCAAGAGTAAGTTTAATCCTGTTTTAGGGGTGGTGCAAACAGACCCCACAGAGCAAGGGCTTCTGCCACCGCTGAGCTGCTCCACCAGGTGAGGCTAGAATCCTCATGGGTAGTTAGCATCCCTCCTCGAAAACAAACAACTAAGGTGCAAAGTGGCACCTCCTCCACACTTAACAGCACCTGGACCAAGAAAGCATCTGCATAAGTGAGCCCAACGATTTCACGCCCTCCTTCCATCCACGGGGAGCACCTGCCAGGAGGACTGGACAAGCCTGCAGGCCAGGTGGTCTGACACATGCTGGGCACCTCCTGCACCTGGCTAAGTCTCCAGCCAGTGACCTTTGGGAACTGTGGGTGTCTAGCCCGCTGGGGCCCCCACTCAACTCCCCTCAGCTTTGGGTTCTGCCTACAGCGGAGTAGTCTCAAGTCCACGGGAAGTGGCTTTCTGGCTGCACCTTCACCCAGGGTTTTCCGGGATGAGGGGCCGCTTCCCGAGGTCCGGGCCTCAGTCTGCTGTCTGGGAAGCGCCGGGGCGAACCCATCGGAGACCAGGGCTAGAAAGCGAATCCCCTGGCCTGGACGTTGGGGACAGAAAGAGCCCAGGAGCGAGGGTGCGCCGCCACTGGGGTGTGGCGTGAGCTCCCTTTCCCACCACTCAGGGACCCCGAATTCGTCCTCCATGCTCCCCAGCCCCCTCCAGCCACCCGCCCGCTGGGCAGGCCCCCGACTCACCTGGCAGCCCCTCCGGCAGGCCAGCCTCGCCCTCCTGGACAAAAGGTCAGAGCAGATGGGGGCACACACTCGCGGGGCCCCCAAAGTCGCCCCCGCCCCTGCAGCCCGCGCCCTGGCTCCCTGCAGAGCGGGGTGCGGTCCGTCCCCAGGGCGCCCCCGCCCGCGGGCCCCACTCACCGGCCCCGGAGCCCTCGAGGCCGCCCAGCGCGACCAGCACCGGCGGCAGGAGCAGAAGGAGCGCCCGGCGACCCATGGCCGGAGGGGACAGGACGCGGAGCGCCCGCGCTGGGCGCCGGTGCCGCCGGGCAGGAGCCGCTCGTCTGAGGGAGCCCAGCGGGGAGGAGCGCGGGGCGCGGGGCGGGCTCACTGGGACCGCGGGTGGGGTGAGGGCTTGGGGAGAGGGGGTGCGCAGCTCGGGGGAGCGTCGCCCGGGAAGGAGCGGGGCTGCAGGGACAGCGCTGCGTGTCCGTCGGTCTCTCCAGGCTCCTCGTGACAAGGAGGGGCAGGGACGCCGAGTCCCTCCTGCAATGGGACAGCAGACTCAGCTAATTCAGGGCTGGTCCGTGACACTTCACTAACGGCTTCCAAACTTGAATGTGCCCAACAGTCAGTCACCTGGAAATCTCCGTTCTCAGGCTCCACAACTGCAGGTCTGGAGCGGGTCTCAGACGCTAACTTCATAGGTGATGCGTGGTGCTGGTTCTCAGACCCCCCCGGAAAAGCAAGGGTTTAAGTTTCCAAACTGAGAGCATCACTGTGACTGCAGGTCTCTGGGGACCCCCCTGGTCCTGTCCTCCCAGCCACTGAGGCAGAATTGGGCCTTCCTGACCCTGGGTCTGCAATGACAGCGGAGACATTAGTCCTCCTGGCTTGGTGATGAGCAAACTGTAAATACAAAGGATAACATCACAAAAGCCCTGAAAAACACTGTTTCCCGTTCAGTCCGAATCACTGCCAGGAGTGGGATCCTTTAATCGACAGTGGGACATGGACATGGGTCTAAGCTGATGGGTCCAAACCAGAGTCTAACCCAATCCCAGCAGGGTTGTGGACTTAACGGGACTGCAAGGATTGAGAGGTCATTTTATCCAAACGCTGCCACTTAGGGATGAGATGGATAAAAACGAGAGTTGGTGACACATTCGACAGGCAAAGACCACCCTCCCACCCCCTTACTTAGCTAAACTGTGACATCCGTCTTTCCCTGTATACCAGGGAAAGTGTCAGATTCTTGGAGAGAACAAGATGGAGTTAGGATTTAGAATGTAAAGCTGGCAAAGAATATTTATAGTGTTTGAGAAAGAAAGGCAGCAATAAAACACCAGAAAAAAAATAGAAACAGAAGTGAATTGTAAAGTGCCTTCTTAGATTTTATTTGCAACACAATACGCTAACAGCTGCCTTTTAAATCATGCCTCCTCCTCATGGGCAGGGCTGGTCTGGTCAAACTCCCCTTTGTGGACAGCAGACTGCCCTGTATCTGAAGATTTCTTGAAATTCCTTGTATGCTCTGGCTGTGTAAGCCAAAAGGAACCTGCCACTGGTTTTTTATTTTTGTTTTGTTTTGTTTCGTTTTTTTTTTGTTGTTGTTGTTGTTGTTTTATCCTCACCCGAGGACATTTTTCCACTTTTTTTGTTCAGGTAGAGTGGGAGGGAGAGAGAGGAACAGAGAGAGAGAGAGAAACATCGATGTGAAAGGAACACATCGAGTGGCTGCCACCCGCACAACCGACCAGGGCCGGGGACAAACTGCAACCGAGGTACGCGCCCTTAGCGGGAACCGAACCCGGGTCTCTCAGGACCACAGGCCGACGCTCTAACCGCTGAGCCAAACCGGCCAGGGCTGTTTTTTTTTGTTTTGTTTTGTTTTTTATTGCTTTTAGAGAGAGAGGAAGGAAGAGGGAGAAAGAGATAGAAACATCAAATGACTGCCTCCTGCATGCCCCCCACTGGGGATCAGGCCCACAACCTGGGCATGTGCCCTGACTGGGAATAGAACCAGCGACCCCTGGGTGCATGGGTGGATGCTCAACCACTGAGCCACACCAGCAGCTGACCCTGCCAGTTTTAACAAAATCTCCTGACATACCAGATTGCTGCTGAAATGCTGCTGCTTTGGAACCCTATTATTTCAGGTGCTTTAATGGTGTCCAGTGACACTGAGGAGCAATTCAGGGTTATAAGAACAGAGACTAGTTTTCCTCACAGGGAGGCATTGAAGCTGGTGGTAAATATTTGGTACTGGGGCTAAATGAGAGAGTGTGTATGGGTATATATATATACACACAGACAGATGGCAGCTTTATATGGTTATAAGCAGTCAACATCCTCATGTATGGTATCAGGGGGATATTGGACTTATCAGGGTGATCACTTCGTATGTTATAAAATGTCTAATCACTATGGTGTACACTTGAAACTAATATAATATTGTATGTCAACTATAATTGAAAAAAAATTTTTTTAGAAACAGTCAACATCAGTTCCTAATCACTCATACCATCTGAGAAAACCACTGACACAAGTTATATAAATAATAAGTAGTTTAAATAATGTGTATATTTGTGTTTAAATTATGTTCTTTGAACTCAGCCTTTCTCAGTGACATATGTTGTCCGTCTCTCCCCACATTTGACATTTCAGCTCTTTTTTTAAAAAAGTTCATTTTAGAGAGATAGGAAGGGAGATGGAGAGAGAGATAGAAATATCAATGAGAGAGAAAAAACTGGCCGCCTCCTGAATGCCCCCCACTGGGGATCAGGCCCACAACCTGGGCAAGTGCCCTGGCCAGGAATTGAACCAGGGACCTCTTGGTGCATGAGCCACACCAGGTGGGCTGACATTTCATCTTTTAAATCTACTTTGTTAGCCTGTTGATAAGCAAAATAATACCCCTCCCCCACCAAAAGATCACATTCTAATACCCAGAATCTGTGAATATGTAACCCTAGATGGCAAAATGCACTTTGTAGGTATGATTAAATTATTAATCTTTTTTTTCCCCCGGCAGAGGTAACTGCTACTTTATTTTTTTATTATTTATCTTTATTGTTGAAAGTATTACAGATATCTCCCCTTCCCCACTTTACCCCCATTGACACTCGCCTCCCCCCTTAATGTTGGGCACTTACAATAAACAAGTTAATTGTCAGCAGTTTACAGCGCAACCAACCTTGCATTCCTGAGATGAGTCCATCCCACTTGGTCACAAACATAAATTTGTACTGAAGAAATAGAGCATAGTGAATGGAATACACAAAAACATTGACTCGCGAGAACATGAGCATGTAGTTGGTGCAGCACACGTATCTAAACAGTGGTCTAATGAACACTGTGATCTTGTGAATGCTGTGAGCAGAGAAATTAGAAAGTGTGCAATTAGTAAGAAATATGCTAGTAAGAAATGATGGGTTAAATTTCTATAAAACTTTATACCAATGATACATAATAAAATTATTTTTTGGTGTTATATGTATTTTATTTTCTAACTGTAAAATTTGCTAATTTATGTATGTTTAAGCGTGGTGAGTCTCCACTAGTGAGTCATTCACCAACACCTTATTCTCTGTTGGGCTGGATAGCAGAGAACTGTGTGGATGTCCATGAGCATATCAAAGAGCTGAAGGGAATATACACTGAATGACGACATGCCAAGAGATATCAGCCTGGCCCTGGCCGGTTTGGCTCAGCGGTTAGAGCATTAGCCCACAGACCAGAAAGTCCTGGGTTTGGATCCCACTAAAGGCACGTATCTCAGTTGCAGTTTGTTCCTGGCCTTGGTTGGGGTCATGTGGGTGGCAGCCTCTCGATGTGTCTCTCTCACATCGATGTTTCTCTCTCTCTCTTTTCCTCCCTCTCTCCCTCTCACTCTAGCTGAAGATAAATGCAAATAAATGTCCTTGGGTGAGGATTAAAAAAAAAAAGAGAGATATTAGCCTGGAAATATTTCACGGAAGATGTAAAATGTGAACAACAATTTGAAAGAAAAAAGAAAAAGGCTACAGAAGATCATTTATGTAGCAAGTCAAATCTGTGTTAATTTTCCTGGCTGTTGCTCTGACGATGTGGCCATCTGAGTCACTTTGGAAGACCCATCTATTTGAGGGTAGATACCAGAGGATCCCCTTTTCCAAGCCTCCCTTGCTGGTGTCCATCTGGGCCATCTGATGGACAGATTGCTAATATAATCTGGTGTAACAAGAGACATTTTGAAAACTGTTGTGCATGTCCTAAATGACAGCTTGCTTCTTCACCGATGACTGTAGCCATGTGTCTGGGGGAGTCTCCATTTCATGGATTAATTTGCTCTTGCTCCTTGCCTGAATTATGTCATTTATGATTTCAATTTAAATATTGCACTTTCCATTTCTCAAGAGCCATTACAATGTTATTGTCATGGAAGCATGGAACAGACTGATAAATCTCAGAGCAAAGAGGGTGAGGGGGAAGCAATTAACCAAAGAACTTATATGCATAACCCATGGACAGACAATAGTGCAGTGAAGGCTGGGGGTGGGCAGGGTGAAGGGGGTCAATGAGGGGAAACGGGGGGCAGCATCTCTAACACTTTCAACAAGAAAGATAAATTTTTTAAAAGCATATTTTTAAAAAATGTTGTCACTGATAAAAATAAGTCATCCTAACTCTTTTTGGTATTTCTCCAAGAAGTGTGTCCCAGTAACTCAATGTGAGATTCAAAGTAAAAGATCTTAAAGTTATAGAGCAGGAAAAAGTAGTGAGGACCTACTGGTGTTTCCTTTGCAGCACTGTTAGCCTTTATTTTAAAAAAAGTAGTAGCAAATGTCAGCATCAAATCGTCCTAAGTAGGGGCCACAAATGGAACAGATCTAGAAAGACTTCGGAGCCACAGCAAATGTTTGGGGACAGCACCTGTGTCTGTGTGTTCTGTTTACATATTAAGAAAAACAGCATTTGGCTAATTTCCTCTATACTGTGCTAACCGCTGAACTATTTGTTCCTTCACCTTCTACCTGCTTTCTCTCTCTCACATGGCCCTCCTGCCGTGCCCACTGGCACACCCCAGCGCCAGCCCTCGGCACCTCTCACACCCACCTCAGTGGTCTGCGCTCAGTGTCTGTGCTCAGCACCAAAATGTTTGTGAGCCATTATTTCTCTGTAGCTGCTCTGATATGAAATGGTCTTATATTCATTCTCTTTCACCTAATTACGGATAGGTCTTGGCTGACTCAGCAGTTTTCTTTCTCTGCTTCTTTTTGCCAAATTACTGCAAGA